GGGCGACCTTCTCTCTCGCGCCGTCGCCATCACGCGCGCGAAAACCTCCGCGCTCGGGTGGCCGAGGTCCACGGGGAGAGACGCTCCGCTCCGCGCGCCCTGCCGCGTTCTGGCCAAACTCGCCCCTCAGCAACCGATTCGAGTAGATGCCCTTGTCCTCGTCGTTGCCGTGGCCCACCGTCGCGCGATAGATGCACTCCATCGCGCCATCGCCTCCCTCGACGGCCCGGACCAGGACGCCGACGCCCTGCTCGGCGGGCTGCACCAGCAAGTCGCTGAGAATCTGCGCCAGCTGGGGCCCGTAGTTCTCGGCAAAGTTCGCGCGGCGCAGGCCGGTGCCTGGGGGATTGCCCTCTAGCACTCCGTATTGCAACTGCGCTCCCGCGTGATCGACCATAACTCGCGCTCGGGGCACAACCCAATGTCGACCGGCTGCCCCTCGTCGACCAGATGGGGGAACTTCCTCTGCGCGCTGTTCTAACGGAAATCCCCGCCGCTGCGCAGTCCAAACGTCCTTGTCTGACGTCCGCGCTGCAATGCTTTCGTCAACCCCGAATGTCCGCCATTGACCCTCTATATCTTGCGCTTGCCTCTCTGGATGCCACTCGCCTTCTGGATGCCCTGGAACAGCTCCTTACTGGCTTCTTCCACTGCGTCGTGACATCGGCGGAACTGCTCGATGCTGCGGCGATTGTCCATGCGTCCGCTATTGTCTATGCGTCCGCTATCGTCATATGGTCATGTCCGCGCGATCTACCTCCACCGAAACTGCAGCACAAAATAACCGACCCCTCGCGTGGCAACACCTCGTCTCCAAGAAACGCGCACGGGCTGATTGGGTGCTGCGCGCGAACATGACCCCGCGAACTCCGCGGCAAGAGGGCTGGGTCCGCGCGCTCCTTCATACAGGTGTCGAAACTGTCGCGTCGATGGTGAAGTGTCCGCGTTGCGGCTGTTGGCGCAGTTGAAACCGCTTCCCCCTTCTGCCCCAGCGCACTCTCTCGCCATTGCAATCATCGGCCATGCCGAACTCCTCCACCACAGGTCTCGCGATCAGAAATGGCACGTGCCCTGGGGTCACGCAAGCAAGAATCCCCGCGAATCTACCTCCAGAGAATGCGGGGGACATTTCACAGATTGTCGCCTCGCCAGTCGGGTGGTTGCCGCATCTGAAAGTCCTCAAATTCCTGAAGTCCTGACGCCTCGTCTGCATCGCTGGAAAACATTTGGCAAACAACTGTTTGCAATTTCCTCTGACCGTCTCGCGCCTAGCAATCGCGCCGGCAACTCCGCTGCCGCGCGTGGCCTTCGATGGGCCAATTCCGCTCGAATTGTAGATCCCCCCCGTCTCGTTGGTAACCATTCGCGCCTCTGCCTCGTTATCCCCGACGCGCTATCTCTAAGAGCTCCGACGCTGGCAATCCATGGCGCAATGACATCGACCTCCGCATCGCATGCAAATCGCCCCGTCGGTGGCTCGCGGTGGCGGACAGGGAAGCTGTGACCAACGTCCTACCATGCCGCGTCCTTTCGACGGTCCTCGTTTATACCCAGTGTTGTCTCTGTCTTTCGGTGGTCCGCGCGACGATCCTCGCCCTTGTGCTCGGCCTGCTCGGGGAAGGATGGGCGCCCTGCTGCGCTGCGGTGGCGGCGCCATGTCAAGCATCAGGCAGAAACCGCGAGCCCACCTCATGTCGTTCATCCTCTGCCGAGCGTCCGCATTCGCTGCCATGGTCTCGCCATATCGGTCCACGGCATACGCCTGGTCTGGCATGGGGTTGTTGATCATGGCGGCCTCGCTGTAATCGGCCGCCTCGGCATCGACGCTCTATCCTCGGTGGTCTGCGTGATGATCCTCACCGCCGTCGCTGTAATTACTAAGCGTAATTGTTTTTCGTCGCCGTGGTAGGCGCCCTCTTGGCACTCGTCGCACTCTTAATATTCGTCCACGTTGTAAACTGCATCCCCCGAGCTCGCTCGTTGACTCGGCGTGGATTTCAAGCCGAACGTCTTCATCATTCCGCTCCCGACGTGGGTCAGTAAAAAAGGCGTTTCCAACTTGATTCGTGATGAACTGCTTGCCTTCTTCGTCCGACCATGCCCTTCGCAACGCGAAGCAGCCAAACACCGGGTCGGGCAATGCCATACCATGTGATCGCAACTGCCGCTCCGATTTCCGAAACCTTCTCAAATAATCAATCCGGGTTTCTCTGGGCCTGCGGACTGCCTCGAAGGAAATTCTCGAAATCCGTCGAGAGCTCCGTGATCTGATCATAATTGTATGCCACGATGATCGCTTGGAAACTGCTCTGCCAGCCCTTCTCTTTCTCGACCTCTACTATCGGGATATCCTCGACCACCTCCCAAGCTCTGCCCGCCAAGCCTTGAATAATCTCGAGCCCCGCTCCCTGTTTTTGCCCTCGTCCACGAGTTCTCGCGGCGTAGATCTCCACCTTCTTCCCGAACCTCTAGCCATCGATCGTGCCATCGAACCGAAGTGGCCCATCGTCGCCCAAGAAATCAGCGAGGACCTTCGGATGATCATGCTTGTGCAACTTCATGTCCCTCGGAGGAGGTAGAGGAGCCAGAGGGGCATTGCGGTTCGTGGCCTGTCCGCCTCCTCCCACAACGGACTCCCCCCCTGGAGGCCGGGTTGACGAGCAGGATAATGGACATGAGCCAAAGGGGCATTGCTGCTCGTGACTTGTCTGCCTCCTCCCGCAGCGGTTCCCCCCATGGCATCGCGATCCCGCGCTTCGGGACGGGCACAGACCCGCCCGCAGCCGCGTCGGCCCGCAAGCGGCGACGGGTCCGCAGACGCTAGCAGCAGCAGCAGCAGTAGCAGCAGCAGCAGCAGCAGCAGCAGCAGGAACAAACACTGAATAAACATAAGCGTTTGGAGGTCCGCGCGGAATTCTTGGATCCGCGCTGGACCCTGCTCCCTGGCGCGCGGAGCGCGCCAAGGGCGGCACGGGAGTCGCCGCGAGGGGGGACAGCGCAGCTCCAAGAGATCCGCGCGGAACTCCGAAAGTTCATGGTTATGCCGCCGCTGTTCTTCCGAAGCGGCGAGAGGAGAGGCGGAGAAAACATATGTACCTCCGATTTCAGGTGTCGACGAAGACTTCCCCGGCCCAGGATGCCCCCAACTCTTCGAGCCATTTCGGATAAAACGCGGCCCTCTGAGCCTCGTGAGGTGCACTCGTGGGGAATCTGGAGACCATCTGACCGCCAACGACTCAAATTTTGTTGAGTCGCCTCCGCCATTTGAGGCGCTGGAGCTGCCGATCCCTTCCCAGGGGACAGCCTTCCCCTCTAGTCCGAACGGTTTTCTGTTGGGATGGGGGGGAGGCCCCGAGATCTAGGACAACAACTTGCGCATAAGCATAAAAAACTGTCGGAGGTCCGCGCTGAACCCCCCTGTCCCTGGCGCTCGACACGCGCCAGGGGTGGCGCCGGAGGCGCCGCCAGGGGGGGCTGGCGGGCAGCGCCCGCCCCAGCTGGGGGGGCCGTGGGCCAGCTTCGGGGCCACCGCCCGGATGGCATCCACCCATGCGGCGGGCTCACGCCGCGCGAGGTCGGCGCTGGTGCCTGACCCCGAACGGGTCGTTACACCTCGAACGGTCGCGGCGCTCCGACAACGCAGATCGTTCGATGTCGGCCGATGTGCTCGTCAACCGCGGCGGAACCTGCCGCGCCGATAGCGCAGATCCTTCGATGTCGGCCGATTCGTCGTTCGATGTCCACTGGCGGCGTTCAACCTACGTCGCACCGCGTCAGCGCGGCGCGAACATGCCGCATCCGACCATGTCTGGCCACCGATCCTGCCTCCGCGCTGGTCGAAGGAGCTAGGAGCACGTGGCCGTCTTCTGCCCACGCGTAGGACGGCCAGCCTGGAGGACAACGTCGAGGAGAAGCCACATTTCTCCACATTCGCCGCCGTCCATTCCAACCAGTCGGAGCGGGGATACCTCATGGGCTTCATCGCGCCATCTGCAAACACCGTGCTTGGATAATCACAACTTGACTGATCGGCACAACAACAACAACAACAACAAGCGCTTCGGGCCTGGGATGTTCACGCCAAGTCTTTTCCAGCGACCATGAGCTTACTGAAGGGATGCGCGTATGTGACTTCTGTGCATGCTCGAGGCCCACGTGCACTGACGCATCGCGGAGGGACGTTGCAAAAAAAATGCCCAAGACGGCTTCCGATGGCGTCCGAGGGGCCAGGGACGCCCCGAGACAGCCAAAACGACTTTCAAGAAGCCCCCAAGAGGCTCAAAGGCCCCCTCAAGAGGTCTCCTCCTACGACGGCCCCAAGAAAGCCCCAAGACGGCCCCATGGGCCTCCAAGCGAACCCCAGCTCCATCGGGAACGCCCCGGATCGGCGGCACCGGTCGGAGGCCACTACAATACTGTCAGCATGGCCTCTGGCTGACAATGTCCAGGTAAAACCTCGAACATCCACTAGGACTCGCGATCAACAACTGTTTTTTTTCAACATCTTGCCTGGAACAGAAACAACTGCAACACCACAACTGCAGCAACTTGCCTGGAACGGAAAGGGTCCTGAGGGAAACGGGCCCTGAGAGTCTCCAGCCAAGACCTACGTTTCATCATCCCAACAAATCCATTCAAACTCCTGGGGCCCAACCCTGGCCTCTGGATCGGGCAAGCGGTGAAAAAGCTCCAGTATCCGTTTCCTCCAGGACCCATTTCTCCGTGCCGAGCACTCGCAGGAGTATCGGTGTGACCAATTTCGAGCGACGAAAGAAAGCGTGTCTTGCGCGACAAGGCATGGCGACCTTACGCCGCGGCTCACGCGGACCGCCAGCGTGGCACACCGCGTGGAGAGGTAGGCGGCTACACGCGACTTCACGCGGGCAGTTCACGCGCGGATGTTGGCACAGTCGACCCCATTACTCTCCATCGCTCATTTGGTGGCTGCCAACATGCGATTTGAACAATATCGATTGACTGTGCTTTGTCAGCCCCTGGACGTCATGAGCAGCTGCCGCTCCTGCAGGGGGCGGTTCTTCTTGCGCATGAACTGGATCCGCGCGAAGTCGGTGTGCCCAGGGATGATGATGTCCTGCATCGGAATTATTTACTCAAGACGCCCCCCTCCTCCTCCTCCTCCTCCTCCTCCTCCTCCTCCTCCTCCTCCTCCTCCCTACCATACTCCTCGACCACCGCCTCCTGCTCCTCGCGAAGCCAGCGTGTCGCAATGATAATGATGATGATGATGATGATGATGATGATGATGATGATGCCTTGCATCGAGACTGTATCTCAAGGTGCCCTCCTCCACGTCCTCCTTCCCCTCCTTCCCTGGCTCCTGCACAAACTCCTGCGGGAGGTGGTGTGGGGGCGAGGGTCCAACCTCGGGTGGGCATGCAGTTCCCTCTGAGGATCGGGGCCACGCCAGAGCGCGAGGGGTCGCCATCTGGGCCCCCACACCCGCCCACGCGTTCTCGTTGGCCAGTGTGAGCCCTCTCATTTTCACAAAATGTGCCCAAGCCGCTGACAGTCTTCTCTCCGACGGCGTCCTGGCCCTGGTTATGCCTCGCGGCCCCACGCTCCAGGAGGAACAGCAGGACCAGCCGCCAAGCGAGATAGAGAAAAGCAGCACGAGGAGTGCCGAAGAGGAGAAGGGGGACGGGAGGCAGGGGAATGAGGGAGTCATGTGCAGGAGCACAGCCAGGATCGAGGAGGGGTCTAAGCATGGTGATGCTGATCATGGCCAAAATGATACGCGGACAAGGATACTGATGGTAACGATGATGGAGGGGGGGCGGGCAACATTTACCTGAGAGCCGGAGGAGTGGGAGGCAGGATGTGGAAGGGGTTCGGAAAGGTGTAAAAAAGGATCGGGGAGGTTTCAATGGCTTCAGCATGCTCCACGATACCCCCCCTCAACAAGAAATCGAGGGGAGAAGGAGAGGCGAAGGAGGGACAGGAGGATACTGTCATGACTGTGATGTGCTCCACGCCCCCAACGCTTCCAGACTTCGCTGGGATTTCCCAGAATCTCCTCGATGGTCGTGGGATCCCCGCCTGCAGCAAACGTCCCTGTACAGGCCGTTGCGGGGATTCCCAACGAACAGCACTGCAGACGACATCCCCCTCTGGCGATCTTCGAAAGCCAGCGGGCAAATCTAAAGACTTACGAATCCGATGAGAGCCCCCGAGCGCGTCGCAATACGTCCAGACGCCTTCGAACACATCCGAAGCTATCCCCCCCGCGACTCTTCCTCCACAGACTGGTCCCCTCTCTTTCTCTTGCCCACTCCCTCCAGTCCTTCCAAGCGGTGAGGCAAGACTTGACATCAAGGTATCGCCTCACGGGCTCGTCCCAGGTGGGGCACTTGGACTCTGGCGACATGAAGACGCTGTCACCTGAATGCCGCAGGTAGCCCCCAGCAGGGGAAAAATTATCCCGGCAAAGCAACCTAACAGCGATGTGTAGGAGCATATCTGGAAGCATTCCCCTTAAGATTCAGATGAGAATCCAGTTGTAGATATCTGTTGTTCTCGCAGTCGTAGTCGCATTCGCGATGACAGTCGCAGTGGCAACGGCAGTCGCAGTCACAGCCTCAGCCTCAGCCTGCCTCAGCCTCAGCCTCAGCCTGCCTCAGCCTCAGCCTGCCTCAGCCTCAGCCTCAGCCTGCTTCAGCCTCAGCCTCAGTCTGCCTTCAGCCTCGGCCTCAGCCTCAGCCTGCCTCAGCCTCAGCCTGCATCAGCCTCAGCCTCAGCCTCAGCCTGCCTCAGCATCAGCCTGCCTCAGCCTCAGCCTCAGCCTGCCTCAGCCTCAGCCTCAGCCTGCTTCAGCCTCAGCCTCAGTCTGCCTTCAGCCTCGGCCTCAGCCTCAGCCTGCCTCAGCCTCAGCCTGCCTCGGCCGCAGCATCAGCCTGCCTCAGCATTCAAAATGTAGCCCAGGAGTGGAATTCTGGGAACTAGAAAAACACGAAGTGGCCTACAGTTGGCTCCGGGCATTCAAGATCATGCCCAGGAATGGAGTTCTGGGAACTCGAAGAACACGAAGTGGCCTAGAGTTGGCTCCGGGCATCCAAAATGTGGCCCGGGAGTGGTGTTCTGGGAAATCCAAGAGCACGAAGTGGCCTACAGTTGGCTCCGGGCATTCAAAATGTGGCCCGGGAGTAAAGTTCTGGGAAGTCGAAGAGCACGAAGTGGCCTACAGTTGGCTCCGGGCATCCAAAATGTAGCCTGGGAGTGGAGTTCTGGGAAGCCGAAGAACACGAAATGGCCTACAGTTGGCTCCGGGCATTCAAAATGTGGCCCCGGAACGGAGTTCTGGGAGGTCGAAGAGCACGAAGTGGCCTACAAGTGGCTCCGGGCATTCAGAATGTGGCCCGGGAATGGAGTTCTGGGAGGTCGAAGAGCACGAAGTGTGTGACTGTTTGCGAAAAGCGAATTCGGACACGAGTTCGGACACAGCTCCCCGGATGCCGCCCAGACCCCCCTATGGAGTCATCTGCTGCTCTCTTTTGAGACCACTAGAAACCTATCAGTTTTCGCTGTTAGGTAAAAAAGTTTAGTTTTCGAGTTTAGGTCGTTCCCGAAGGCTTGGACTGGCCATTCCGGATGTTGCGGGGTACGCTGGAGCCTGCTTTGCTTCACTTAGACTCGTCCGACTCTCCCACTGTGCATCGAGGGCACACCGAAACGCAAAGCAGCACGTGGGCTGGCATCTGTCTCTCATCCTCCGTCCCCGACTCTGCCCCCCCTTCCCTCCTCATCCACCTCCTCCTCCACCTGCGTCCTCCTTCTCCTCGTCCTTCTCATCCTTCCCTCCGCACCCTCCGGCACCTTGCTCCTCCCTGCCTGCCCCCGCATCGCCCTCCATTTCCCCTCCTCTTCCGCCTGCTCCCTCATCGCCCTCCATTTCCCCTCCTCTTCCTCCCTTCCCCTCTTTCTGTCCCTCGCATACCCATCCCCCATCTCCCCACCCGCCTGCCTCCCAGCGCCCTCTTCCCTCCTCCCTCCGCCTTCCTCCGCCTTCCTCTGGGGGGAAGAAGGAGGGAACGAGGGAGGGAGGGTCGTCGTCGAAGGAGGGTTTGGGGCGCACCCGCGCTCAATCTCACAGGCGGCAAGCGCGGCGAGTACGCCTCATCATGAACGCCTGTTCTAAACAGTGAAACTCCATCAGTACGGTCAACGAAAAAGAGAAACAACTACCCTGAATGCACTCGTCAGAGAGGGGGGAGGGAGGAGCAGAGGCCTTCTGGCTGGGTTCGGAGGATCGCGCCGCGTCGGCGATGCACCGGCGACGCGGCCCCGTCGGCGCGGAGAACATCGGGCTCCACATCGAGCCACATCGGCGATGAATCGGCGATGCGGCGCGACCCTACGACCCCATCAGTTGTGACCCCATCTGGGAGGCGTAGAAGGGAAGATGAGGGAGGGGAGATGGATGGAAGAGGGAGGAAGGAAGGAGGGATTTTGTGCTCCTCCGATAGATGCCGAACGTGCCAGCTGCAGGAGGGATGCACAGGCTGGAGAGAAGGGAGGGGCGCCACCGTGCGCCCGATCAGCGGCCCTGCACGCTGAACTTCGTGGCCTCCTCCTCGGCCTGCTCTGCGCACTCCCTCGGCTGCGGCCCTGCACGCCGCCTCGCGATCGAACGCCAGGTCGCTCTGGTCCGCTCGAGCTGCACCTCCTTCTGAAGGACGTCGTCGGCGACCAGTGAGTCGTCGGCGAAATGCCTGTGCCCAAACGGGCACATGCCGTTCAAGAGGAAGCCTTCGCCCCACATGGGCGCCGAGTGCCCCCATGTCTGCAGCCCCATGCCAATGCGGTTGGTCCTGTAGTCGACCCAGCCGTGGAGCAAGGGGTGCTAGCGCGCGCTGGCCCGTGTCGTGGCCAGCGCGCGGTTGAGCGGCTGGGCGCGCGGACCAAAGCTGTCCTGCTTGGCCCAGCCCGCCGCCAGGGCGATCTCGAAAACCCATTCGTCCGCTATCTCATGTCGCGCACGCCACCATTGCCAGCCTGTGCACGGCTCGCCTGCGGTCGCCTCGTACGCATCGATGTTGGTCGCCTTGCCGCCCAAGACCAACTCGGTGTCTCTGGGGGTTGTTTGTGCGGCCCCACCGCGCCAGGTCCTGCAGCACGTCGCCCATGCTCACCTCCGTCAGGTGGGTGTAGTGGGTACTGCCCTGGTAGCCCTTGAAACTCTGCTGGCCCCCGTCGACCAGCGGGCTGTAGTCGATGCTCACCTGCGCCCCGTCGGCCTCCAGGTTGCCGCCGGCGCTCAGCTCCGTGCCGAAGGTGTCGAGCGTCCTGCCCTGGCCCGCGGGCTCCGCATTGTTGGGGGTTGTTTGTGCGGCCCCCCACCGCGCAAGGTCCTGCATCACGTCACTCTTGCTCACCTCCGTCAGGTAGGTGGGGAGGGCACTGCCCTGGTAGCCCTTGAAACTCTGCTGGCCCCCGTCGACCAGCGGGCTGTTGTCGATGCTCACCTGCGCCCCGTCGGCCTCCAGGTTGCCGTCGGCGCTCAGCTCCGTGCCGAAGGTGTCGAGCATCCTGCCCTGGCTCATGGGCTCCGCGTTGTTGGGGCTTGTTTGTGCGGCCCCCCATCGCGCCAGGATATGCAGCACGTCGCCCGAGCTCCCATCCGTTTCGTAAGTGTTCTGGGTACTGCCCTGGTTGCCCTTCCTGCTCTGCTGGTCCCCGTCGACCAGCGGGACGTCGTTGAAGCTCACCTTCGCATCGTCGGCCATCGCGGTGCCGTCGGTGCTCACCACTGCGTCGAAGGTGTCGAGCATCCTGCCCTGGTCCTTGGGCTCCGCGTCGTCGCCACGGAGAAGAAGGACGATGTGACAGCCCGCAGCGGCACCATCTGCGAATGCTGCGGCTGCCCAGGCAACCGCGTCACAATGCAGCGTGTCGGCAGCAACGATGTGCCACACTCCAGGCGCATCTCCCTGGCCCGCGTCGGCCTCCACCCACTCCATGGGCATCGGCAGCCCAAGCGAGGCGGACAGCCCGCAAGCTGCACGCTGCGCGTAGCGGATCGCCACCACCGCCGCTCTCCTTCTTCTGCGGGCCGAACGGGACGGCGAGGCCGCGCCCACCTCGCAGGGCAGTGCGGCGCAGGCGCCATCCATGTCGCGGGATGCACCGTGGCCCGCCGACGGGCTACACGGCGTCTGGGGTCAGGTCCGAAACGGGCGACGGCTTGGGCCCATGGACCTGACGCCTGAAGGGAGGAGGGAGGGAAGAGGGAGGAAGAGGGAGGAAAAGGGAGTTAATGAAGAGGGAGGAGGAGGAGGGCGGGGGGGAGGGAGGGGGAGCAAGGCGCACGCGCGATCCTCCCAAATGCCCCCCCCCACTGGTGAACGAGCTGGTGCCCGCCGGTCAGAGCCGGCCGGTCGTCGTTGGTGGTCGTCCAGTTGTCGTGGAATCGTCGCTTGTCGTCGGTGTCGTCGTCGTCGTCGTCCATCGTCCGTCGTCCGACGTCCGATGTCCGTCGTCCGTCGTCCGTCGTCCGTCGTCGTCTTCGTCGTCCGTCGTCCGTCGTCGTCGTCGTCGTCGTCGTCCTCTTCGTCCGTCGTCGGTCGTCGGTCGTCGGTCGGCGTCGTCGTCGTCGTCGGTCGTCGGTCGTCGGTCGTCGGTCGTCGGTCGGCGTCGTCGTCGTCGTCGTCGGTCGTCGGTCGTCGGTCGTCCGTCGTCCGTCGTCCGTCGTCCGTCGTCCGTCGTCCGTCGTCCGTCGACGTCGTCGGCGTCGGCGTCGTCATCGGCGTCGTCGTCGTCGTTGTCATCGGGAGGCGCTGGTCAGCGTCGATCGTCCTTCGTGGACAGTCGGCGACGCGTCGCGGAGGGCTGTCGCGCAGGCCTCGCAAGAGGTCGTAGCTGTCCCAGATGCGGGGGCCCTGGCCGTCGGCGAAGAGGAATATGTGGTCCTTGCCTCCCGACACGAGGTGTGTATGTGTGTGTGACGGGCGGTGAGGGGCGGGGGGCGTGGGGGGGAGAGGATGGGACTCGGCCAAGAACAAATTCGGTCAAACTGAACTCGGCCAGGCCGAACTCAGCCGGTCGAACTCGGCGATCTGAACTCGACCAAGCTGAATTCGGCCGGGGCCGAGTTCGGCCTGGCCGAGTTCGGCCGGTCAAATTCGGCCTGGCCGAATCTTTCCCGAGTTCGGCGTGGCCGAGTCCGGAGGAACCGCCAGGGGCGGGCCCAGCGCCGATCCAAGGAATCCGCTCGGACCTCCGAAAGTTTATGCTTATACCATCGTTTGTGTCCAGAGGGGAGGGCTGAGGTTGGAGGGAGGCTGAGGACGGGGGGAGGCAGGGGGAGGGAGGGCGCGGGGAGGGAGGGATCGCACGCCTGTAAGGGAGAGAGAGAAAGCAGGGAGAGGTCCAATGGTCCAGCCGAGCCCCCCCCCCAGGGGGAGCCCGTCGGAGTGGACCTTTTTGCCTCGAACAGTGCGGCCCTGAGTGAACCGCACCGTGGGCCAACAACAAGGCACCCGCTAGAAAAAAAACTCCCGTTAATAAAGGTCGAGCAGGTCGTCCTGCCCCTTCTCCTTGAGGCGGCTGCCCAGACCTCGAGCCTCATCTTCGTTCATTCCGAACGCTTAGAGGCAATCAACAAAGCACAGCTCGTGCCTCGTTGTCCTCGACGGGCCCACGGCTGCCGTGCTGCAGGCCCCTGCCCGTTGGGCCCCTGGCTCCACGAAGGATCCCCCCCAACACCCCCCGAGCAACCGAACCAGGATTGAGCCAATAGCCCAATATGTGGGCTCTATTGGGATGCCTCCCCTGCACGAAGCGGGGAGGGAGGGAGTGTTGAGGAGGGAGGGAGCGAGGAGGGTCGAGGAGGGAGGGGTTGAGCGGGAAGCGTCGAGGAGGGAGGGAGGGAGGGAGCGGGGAGGGAGGGAGGGAGGGAGGGTTTGAGGATGGAGGGAGAGGGACGCCCAGACTGCCCATACGCCTGCAATCAGATGAAACCAGGAGGCGCGCCAAAGAAGAGCAACAAGACCAGATCGGAACGCATGACACGACGCCGCCCAACAATGTTGGATTCGACCGCGCGCGCGCAGACGGCACCAGACAACGCCAGGCAATGTCATTGAGCGTGAGACCACACACAACACCGCGAGCGAGACATTGTTCGCCAAATGGGCTGGTGGAATTCCCACCACCTACCATATGATTCCACAGGATGAGACACGCATGGCGCTTGGAAGACGGAACTCCTGAGCGAGCCCTCTCACCCGACCAACGAGCAGGAGCTCCTCATGGAACCAAATCGTCCGACTGCAGACGTGCAGGGGATGTTTGTGATGCTGCGCGGATCGCCTGCATACGCTGTCCATCCGGGGCTCTCCTGTTGGTCCGGGCTCCCAGGCCCTTCCAGGGCCTGCCTACGTTTGCCCAAGTTCTCTCCGTCGTCCTCTCCTCTCTCTCTCTCTCTCCTCTCCCGGTGCTCGCCGCCCGCTGACACTGTGGCCCGAACTCGAGCCTAAAGTCGAGTCGGCGACCGACAGGGCCAATCGCCGCGCAATCGACCCCCCGGCGGCCGCGCCGCCCCCAGACCCAGCGGAACCCGGCCTCGAGAAGGCCAACATCAAGCAAGAGGATGCCCAGGAGCACATGCACGAACACCCCAGCCACCTGCTCAGCACCTCATTCCTCTCCCCTCCAGCCCTGGGGGACCCTATCTGAGACCGGGGGGCCCTGCCTGCCTCTGAGACCCAAGGGCCAAGGGATCCCTCTGAGAACCGAGGGGCCCTATCAGAGACTCATCTCTCCTGCCCGGACCCCGAAACAGCCCTCCGACACCGCTGTCCCCATCCTCCCTTTGGACGCCCGGAATGGGTACGGAACAAATGGCATGATGCCCAACAACACAAGGTGCCCAAAACTGGCAGCGGCCGCGGCAACCTCTTTTCTCAACTGGGTACCGCCCACGGTGGCACCGACGGCGAACCCTGTTCAAAATGAACCGTAACTGCTGCCAATATTCGTCCCCATCCTTTCCGTACCGAATTCGATCGTACCGACTCCCAGCCTCGGGGAACCCCTCAAAGACGTCCGCACGGCAGGTGCCCGATCGGGCCACGGCCGGCTCTGGCCCCCTGAGAGGCCAGGGGCCAGACGCAGCCCAAGAGCGACCCGACCACCGATGGCAGAAAAAAACCGAAAACAACGATGCGTTCGGATTTCCAGGCTCGAGCTTACCCCCATCGCTTCGATTGACAAGCCACTGGGCGATGACAGCCGTAGGCGTGCGCCCTTGAAAACTACGGGAGTCCTTAAGATCGGCATCAAGATGAGGCGATGCTATATCCAAGGCTGGTAATTGCGTTTGTTCGGGTCTGTCCCAACATGTGCGTTGCCTGTAGCGGCGGCGGTTCCCTCCAGCTCTGACGCCGAGCGCACCCGCCCGCCGTCCCCGCAGCCGCCCGGGAGTTTTTGTCACAGAGGCTGAAGCAGCACCACTTTGACCCTGGTTGAACAAAAACCTAGTGTTCATTCCCCCCTCCTTTCCTTCCCCGCGCCCACCACGCCCCATCTCCCCTCCTCCTCCTCCTCCTCCTCCTCCTCCTCCTCCTCCTCCTCCTCCTCCTCCTACACCCCTCCCTGGAGCCCCAAGGAGGTATTCGATCTAGCCTCCGAGAGTACCCTGAGTGCACACACAAATCCAAACTATAGATGTTCAATGTTTTTGTCTGTCGCCCGCTCTGCTCCCGCAACAAGGCCAGACTGCCCCCAGAAGATCCCAAGTGCCGCCAACATTGTTGATTCCCATACAAAGACCACGAACTCCTTTCCAACCCAATTGCCCTCGAGTCACGGATTCATCTGGGGGGTGGGCGGCAGATGGCCATCCCCCTCTTCCTCTGAAAAAAACATGCCCTCTCGGCGAGAACGCAGGCAGACGCACAAGGGAACCATGTCGAACGCCAGGTCAAAAGGCCTGGTGATCGAGAAAGGGTGATCCCGATACAAAAGAAAGAATCGAACAACCTCGAAACAAGGAGGCGGGTTGGGACTGGGAAGGGGGATCCAGGGCAGAGACAAGCAGAGAGCGAGAGAGACGGAAAGAGACAAAGAGAGGAATAAAGAGAGAGAGAGAGAGAACGATAGAGATAGAGGTAGACATATGGATGGCAAACAAAAACATCGACAATACGGAGCATTGCAAATAGCATCCACAAGCCTGGCGGAGACACCACACCCCTACTGAGTGGACAGCGCAGACCCATCAAGTGAAGGGAGAGAGGGAAGGGTGGTAGTAAAGGAGCTGAGGAGGGAAGACGAACGGAACAGAAAGGATACACTAGGAATGGCACATGAGAACTATATGGCAGGGTCTCTAAGAACATCGCGCACGAACTCGAGCTATACGTCAACACCACAAAGCCGCAAGACTACGTTGGTTTTGCAAGTCCATTCCACTCTGAGGGCGTCGCAACATTTGGACTGCGCAAGGATGTATCTCCCCCTGCAGTGGTCGGCAACGCACAAACATGAAGGCACAGGGGGCCAACAAGCACACGTCACTACAATGTGATATTCAAATTGGGAACAACATCTCAACCGGCCTTGCTTTCTCTGGTAGTACTTGGACCCGCGCAAGAAATTCATGAGGGGCTCCCATATGTACTGGTCGGAGACCTCCGTGTCGTCCCACGCATCATTATCTACATCTGTCGCAGTGCTCCTAACCAACCCCTCATAAGCCCATTCGTGCCACATGCATTGCTTCCACGGTGGGGCATCACGCAATGTGAACGGACCCGCATATCCACGCATGAAGTGCACATCATGAGAGAATGCGGGTGAAGCCTGAACATAAGTTCACGCTCGAACTTGCTGTTGGACGAACAAAGAACCACCGCGATTCGAGGCGAACATCGTAGACTTACTACTTCTTCTCTGCTGGCTGCGCACAACCGCAACACCGATCAAACAAACATACCGCAACTCAACATATCAATCAAACATGAGATCCACTCCTACGTGGCAACGAATTGTGCCAAAAACCTTGTCAGCGTCCTTCATAGCTCCATCTTCATCCGTGAAGTTTTCGTTCAATTTGACGTACATGCAAGTGGCAAACAACGACACGAAAAACCAATCGGCTGTCTGCGGGTCATCGGTGTTGCAATTCTGCTTCCAGAAGTGCCGCATCACCACCTCGTGGAGATCCACTGCAAAGGACACGAAGGGGCATCGGGAGGGGAAGGGAAGGAGGATGAGCACGGGACAAGAAGCAGCGGCAGACACGCAAGGAAAGATGGTGACCAACTCTGGCAGGGACATCTTTAACTCCTATCAAAAATCAGCGCGCTGATAAAATTCGTGGGCTAAACTTGTGATATTTTGACGTATGCGGCAGCGTGACGCAAACTTCCCGGGACCGAGAATTCAACAGCACCTGGCAATTTGGTTCGCCTGTACGCCAGAAGGGTATGCATGTCTTCGTATGCGCGCTCGTTTTGCTCGAGCTGCAACATTGGTTGCACACCAACTCCACCCAACGATGCACGACGTGCAATGCTGCGTATGCAGAGGATAAACAGCTGGAGACGCTCGGACCGAAAACTCATTCGCCACCGTGCCCCCCCTGGCACGTTCTGGCGCGGTAGTGCGACAAGTGCTGTAGGACCCCCCCCTCCTCGTCGCCCTCAGGGAAGCGTACCGGCTCCCACTCTTGAAGGTTCCTAAGCGCCTGGACGCATCCCTGCCTCTCTCCAAGGCGTCCACGCCATTGAGGGCCACCAAGACCGACAGGATTCCCCAACATTGTCTCAAGACGCACCCAGCAGCCCAAGAGACCGTAAAGAGGCTGCAAGAAGAACCTCCCGAGACGTTCGAGAGGCAAGGCGCACAGATGTTGGTGTATTGTTTCGATGTGTTTCTCTTTCCGCGGTCTTCGGTCGAAGATCGGTCCACTTGCAATATTCGGAGGTCCAAACAGGTCAACTGAGAGCCCCAAGAGGGCCACTAGACGGTCTAGGACGGTCCCCAAAAAGCACGAAGCTGCCCCAAGGGTGCCTCTGGGAGAGCCCAAGACGGCCTAAAGGTGCCTCATAGACGGTCCGAGACGACTCGAAAGACCGCCCAGACTGCCAAGAGAGTCTCGAGGTGGCCCAACAGAGTAGAGTCCCAGGACGGCCTTGAGAGCCCGAGACCGCACAAGAGGGCCGCAGGAGCCCAAGCCAGCCAAAGACGGCCCTATGAGAGCTCCTCAAAAAAGAGGGAGACGAGGAGGTGCCACGCGTGACCGCCTTCTGGGCGGTGCTCGAAAGGTGCCACACCGAGTGCTTCGCTGGCAAGGCGGCGGATTCGCCGCAGGCACCTGGACACCCACGTGCAGAGTACGCACGCAGTGGCGCTGTCTGCTCGCACACCGCATGTGCAAGCAGGCGCCGTCTCAAGCAGGCGAGTGTACCCAGGATCTCCGAGAAGCAGGTCCACCTCGGTGCCCCATTGGCCCGTTAGGCAGTACAAGTTCCCAGGTTTGTAGAACTGCTCTCCCAAGTCGTAGACAAAGAATCTCTGCCCGGCGCAGAGATCGTCGACCCTTCGCCCCGCTTGAAGCTCCTCGAGAATAGTTGCTTCCAATATGAATGCCCTAGTGCCCGAATACTTACAATTCGTTCTTGGGATCGCGATACTGCCGCCAGAGGACGAGGAGGGGGGGCGGGGGGCAAACATGGGAACGGGAGGAAATAACATCGAGCGGCTGCCAGAGAACGTGAAGGAGGAACGTGGGACGCAATAGCATGCCACAGAAACCTGAGCAAGGATGCAAAGCGATGATGGCAATCTGCTAGATTCCATGTGCGATGAGCCTATGCCCTTCACTGTGATTGACCTGCAGAACAGCAGAAACCAATCGATGCACACGAGAGATGCCCTAACTCTGAAACTGGCCTCTCTGAGAGGCCAAGCAAGCAGACACACGCATGCAAACAACATGCGGAACATGTGTGGCATAGATATGCAAGAGCAACAATCCGAAGAGACACACGCACGCGCACCCACACACATACACACTAGAACCACGCGCGCGCTTCGCGCGCGCTTAGGTTCTAGTCGCGGCTGCGCCTCACTTTGCGCGCCTCGACCGACGCCGCCGACGACGACCACGACGACGACGCCGGCGGGGACGACAACAACGACGGCGTTAGGCACAACGACGACGACGACGACGACGACGACGACGACGACGACGACGACGACGGCGGCGGCGAGGAGTGACGACGACGGCGTCGGCGAGGACGATCATGACGACGATGAGCACGACGACGACGACGACGACCATCACCGTGACGACGACGACGTCGGCGACAACGACGAGGTTAACGCACTGGCTTTGTCTGGAGCCGTCCTCCTCCGTCTGCTCATCCTCCTCCTCCTCCTCCTCCTCCACCTCCTCCTCCTCCTCCTCCTTTTCCTTTTCCTCTTCGTCCTCCTCCCTCGCGTCCCCGCCGGGGGTGGACGGCGACGGCGGGGATGACGACGACGAGGACGAGGACGAGGACAAGGAAGACGACGACGACGACCACGACGACGACGACGACGACTACCCCAGGTCGAGGCCTCGTCCTGCACGTCCCCCTCCCTCCTCCTTGTCCTCCTCGTCCCCCTCCTTCTCGTCGTCCTTCTCCTTTCCATGCGTTCCTCCTCCTGCCTTCCTCTCCCTCCTCCTCCTCCTCCTCCTCCTCCCTCCTCCTCCTCCTCCTCCTCCTCCTCCTCCTCCCTCCTACTCCTACGCCAGCTTTCTCTCCTCCTCCTCCTCCTCCTTCTCCTCCTCCTCCTCCTCCTCCTCCTCCTCCTCCTCCTCCTCCTCCTCCTCCTCCTCGTCCCCCCAGGTCTTGGACAGCGCGAAGGACTCCTGCCAACCCATGGATTTTCATGGTTTGGGATCCTCTCGGGGGCTGTTTTGGGGCCTCATGGGAAGCCTCTCGGGGGCCTGTTGGGCGCCTCTTGGGGGCCTTTTGGGGCCTCTTCGAGGTTTCCTGGGTGCCTCTTAGGGCCCCCTGGGGGCCTACCGGGGCGCAGGGCCCGAAAAGTCGATCTCGATCCCCGTGAGACGAGGACGACGACGACGACGCCGACGGCGGCGGTCGCAGCGGCGGCATCGGCATCGGCGGTGGCGGCGGCGGCGGCGGCGGCGGCGGCGGCGGCGACGACGACGACGACGACGACGACCTCCACGACGACGACAAGGCCGGGAAGCTGGGAAGCGGGAAACTGATGATCTTGAGAGCCGTTTTATGGCCTCTTGGGGCCTCACTTGGGCTTCTGGGGGGCCTCTAAGGGTTTTGGGGGGCCTCTTGGGCGCTTCTTGGGGCCTGTTGCTCGAATTTTCTGGTCGTGGTCCCCCTCTTGGGCACCTCTTGGGGCCTCCTTCGGGCGGTCTTGGGCGCCTCTTGGGCCGTCTTGGGGCTCTCTTGGGCCGTCTTGGGGCCCGCTTGGGGGCCTTTTGGCCGCTTTTGGGCGGTTTTGGAGGTCTCCTGGGCCGTCTCGGAACGTCGGAAAGCCGAGAAGGCGAGAAAGGCAACATCCTTCAAAAACAAATGAGAAATTGACGATTTTGGCCTCTCGGGGCTCTCTTGGAATGCCTCGAAGGGCTCTCTTGGGCCGTCTTGGCGGCCTTTTGGGCCGTCTGGAGGCCATCTGGGCCGCATTGGAACGGCATTTCGGCGATTCTGGGCTAACCTCGACCGTCATGGGGCCGCCTGGGACCCTCGTGTGTCGTTTTTGGAGCCGCCTTCGGGCCGTCGTGGGCGCCTTTTGGGTCGTCTTGGGGCTCTCTTGGGCCGTCTTGGGGCCCGCTTGGGTGTCTCTTGGGCCGCTTTGGGGCGGTCTTGGAGCCCTCCTAAGCAGTCTTGGAGCGTCGGGAAGCCGAAAAGGCGAGAAAGCCAAAATCCTTCAAAAACTACTGGGACATTGACGATTCTGGCCTCTCGACCACAAGACAGAGCACAGGAGGGCCCAGGAAGAACCCCAAGGGCGGAGGGAAGAAGGTTCAATAGGTGCGCCAAAAGGACGCCAACTGGCCCGTGGAATAATGTGTAGACGGGCCAAAGAGAAAGCCCACGGGGGGTCCAAGAAGGCTTCGAGAGGAGCCCAAGCGGCGGCAAATCGGATTTTTTCTGATGAAAAAGAGGCACACGAGCGCACCAAGATTGCCCGAAGACTGCGTACAGGTGAAACCGAAATATGCTTCAAAACGCAACCAAGAGCGCGCCCGAGAGGGTTCCAACACAGTCCGAAGAAAGGATGCCAAAAAGGGGTTCCGTTGAAAGATATATTTCGGGCCGTTTTGGGCCTCTCCCTCCGGGCCTTCTTGGGGGGCCTTTGGGTTTTTTAGCAGTGTTGGGGCTCTTTGGGGCCACCTTGCAGCCTCTTGGGTCGTCCTGGGAACCTTGGGCCGCCTGGGGCCCGCTTTGGGCTGTCTTGGGCTCTCTTGGGGGTTTCTGTAGTCATGTTGTGGCCCTCTTGCGTGCATTTCGGGCCTCTCCGGGGCTCTTCTTTGGCCGTCGTCGTCGTCGTCGCGGTCGTCGTCGTGGTCGTCGATCTTTAGCCAAACGGCTTCCGGAATATTTTGGCCAAGCGGCTCGGCGTCCGACGCCGCGCAGAGGTCGACAATATGCGGCGGCACGTTTGAAGCGATTTTAGCGTTCTCATTTGTTTGGCTTCCGACGGCCCAGAAAGGTCCAAAAGGCCCCCAAGATGGCCCCAAAACAGCCCAAGAGGCGCCCAAGAAGGCCCCAAGACTGCCCAAGAGGGCCCCAAGATTGCCTAAGAGGCCTCCAAGCAAGAAGGTCCCTAGAGGGTTCCAAGACGGCCCAATAGACATTCAAGACTGCCCTGGACCGCCCCAAGAAGGCCCCAAGGCGGCCCAGAGAGGCCTCAAAGACGGCCTCCGCAGGCGTCAGACGACAGAAGACGGCCCAAGAGGCCCCGAGAAGCTCCCAAGAGGCCCCCAAGAGGCCCTCAGGAGGCCCCCGAGAGGCCTACTTCCTCCTCCTCCTCCTCCTCCTCCTTCTCCTCCTCCTCCTCCTCCTCCTCCACCTTTTGCTCCTGCGTCTAATCCTCTCCCTCTTCCTCCCCCAAGTGTTCCCCAGGGGTTTCCACAACGGCTGTGGGAACACATAGCCCAATACCTTGGACAAACTTTGGCCCAACGTTTGGCCACATAAACGTTTCCAATAAGGCAAGGGGGCGGTGGTAATTCGCATTAGGCGTCTTCAATAGAGACAAGAGGTGTCACAAGAGCTGCGCTGGCACGGTGGCGGGGCATGCCGCAGACAGCTGAATATAAAAACGGTGTTCGTACCTTCTCTGATATCACGAGAGTCCTGAGCCAAATCCAGTAGGTGGGCCTCAGGGGCGCACTTGGGCTGTTTTGGGGCGTCTTCAATAGAGACAAGAGGTGTCACAAGAGCTGCGCTGGCACGGTGGCGGGGCATGCCGCAGACAGCTGAATATAAAAACGGTGTTCGTACCTTCTCTGATATCACGAGAGTCCTGAGCCAAATCCAGTAGGTGGGCCTCAGGGGCGCACTTGGGCTGTTTTGGGCGCGTCTTGGGCCGCCTTGGGGCTCTCTTGGGCCGTCTTGGGGCCCTCTGGGGCGCCTCTCCGGCTGTCTTGGGGTAGTATTGGGGGCTTTGGATGTCGTCAAGAAGTGTACGACACTGGAAACAATTGATATGGTAAAAATATACGTTTTACGAAAGGAATGGGGCTATTTTTGCAATTTGGAGATCTCTTCGAGCGCGTCTTGGAGGCCTTTTGGGGCGTCTTGGGGGCTTCTGAAGCCGTCTGGAGGCAATGTTGGGCGTCTTGGGCGACCTTTGGGCGTATTAAATCCTTTCTGGTAGCTTTTTGTAAGCCTCAGGGGCGCACTTGGGTTGTTTTAGGCGCCTCATCGGCCGTCTTGGGGCTCTCTTGGGCTGTCTTGGGGCCCTCTGGGGCGCCACTTAGGTTGTCTTGGGGCGGTCTTGGGAGCCTCTGATGTGGTCAAGAACTATACGACAGCGAAAACAATTGAGGTAGTAAAAATATACGTTTTGCGAAGGGAATGGGGCTATTTTGCCCTTTTGGAAATCTCTTCGGGCGCGTCTTGAAGGCCTTTTGGGGCGTCTTGGCGGCTTCTGAAGCCGTCTGGGGCGATGTTGGGCGTCTTGGTGCGACCATTGGGCATCTCGGGTCGCGTTTGGAACGTCCCGAGTCCTTTCTGGTAGCCTTTTGTGGGCCTCAGGGCCGCACTTGGGCAGTTCTGGGCGCCTCTTGGGCCGTCTTGAGGCTCTCTTGGGCTGTCTTGGGGCCCTCTGGGGCGCCTCTTGGGCTGGCTTGGGGCTGTCTTGGGGGCCTCCGGCGTCGTCATGAACTGTACGGCAGCGAAAACAATTGATGTAGTAAAAATATACGTTTTACGGAGGGAACGGGGCTATTTTTGCTTTTTGGAGATGTCTTCGGGCGCGGCTTGATCGCCTTTGGGGGCGTCTTGGGGGCTTCTGAAGCCGTCCGGAGGCAATGCTGGGCGTCTTAGAGCGACCTTTGGGTGTCTCGGGTCTCTCTTGGAGCGTCTTGGGGCTCTCCTGGCGCTTTCTAATGGCATTCTGTGGGCCTCCGGCGCCTCCAGAGCCCCCGGTCCCCACATTTGTGGTCGTGGTCCCAGCCCCGGGCCCCCGGACCAGGTGCGCCGTTATATGTATACACGCACCTTGCTACAGCGCTGTGTCATTCAGGCGGGCAGTGGATGAGTGAGGAAAACTGTGCGGTTCGACTTCAACGACGTGGATCGATGACGTATGTACTTAGCTCAACCCTTTGAAATAACAACGCCACAAGCCACCAGCGAAGCTTGGCAGGGATGATGCGACATCTCAGGGGCATATCGAACTAATTGCGGAATCAAATTCGACGCCAACACGCATATTCTGTTTGCAGAGGATGGTACATCCGTTGGCACGGCAAAAACGTAGAATAGGGCCCATGTAAAAACACGGCACCCAATTCATCATCATCCTCACCAATCACATGCTGCCTTGTTTTACCAATGTTTCACGGAACAATTCGAGACCCATCGTGCCAATGAGAGAACACATTAACACAGACAACTCCGTTAAGTCATGAGTCGGACAAGACCCTCTGCTCAGGAATGTACCCAAATTCGATGCGCATGTAGCCAGCCGCCCATGCGACGTTCTTGCACCGGCAAAAAAAATCGCTTCCAACTAAGAAACTGGCAACACATGCGGCGAACATCCTCCGGCTCAGTCCCGTCCTTCGCGTGCGCAGACAAAAGACGAGCTCCGCTAAAACGGGCACTCTTCACTCCGACGCGGCCTCGGCCTCAAAACAGACTGTACACGCAAAGAGCCCAAGATGCAGGGTGTTGTGCTGTCCTGAGGGTCGCAAACTGGACATCGCGCGAACTTTCGGCGCTTTGAGATCCGCCGTCAGCACTTAGTGGAATGTCCCAAGGCTCCTCCTAACGTGATAGGTCTGAGTAAAGCGTTCCTACATGTTGTTCAAGGCCTGGACCCCCGGCTGCGGAGAACTCTTGGGAATCTCCGTGAGCTCTTGGGGTCACGCAGCCCCAGAACCTCGAGGCCTCCAAGATCGTCCCAAGATAGCCCAAGATGCCCCTACGAGACCTCCAAGACAATCTAAGAGGGCCCCAAGACGGCCCAGCTGGCGCAGAAAGCCTCAAGAAGGCGAAAGAGGGGCCCCACGGAGGGAAAACGAACGGACCGTTCGAGCCCTCCAGCCCATGAGATCACCAGGAAGTCAGGAAGCCCCAAAACGCTCCCCAAGAGACCCCAAGACGCGCCCAAGGGAGACTCTCAGGAGGCCCCAAGACGCTCCCAAGAGGCCCCCAAAAGTCTTCAATGAGTCCCAAGAGAACCGCCAAAATATCCCCGCGGACCCCGAGATCAACCTCAACATCCCCCAGATGTGCTTTTCACAAATAGCGTACGAAATACAACGGCGGCAGTCTGGTTGCTGATGACATGCTTGTCGCTGAACCCTGGGAGGCGGTCTCTCTCTAGCTCTCCTCCTCCTCCCAGTACTTCCCTCACGAGCCTCCTTCCCCCAAGAGTCCCCCCCAGACCTGCCAGAGGCCCCCAGAAAGTCCCAGTGGATACAAAAAGAACGGCCAAAAGAGCCCCGAGAACCCCAAGAGCAACCCAAACGCCTCTCAAGAACACCCGGACACCCCCAAGAAGGTCCCAGAGGCTTCCGAGACAGTCGAAGGACCTTCCAGGGCGCCCAACATTGCCTCACAACAGCTCTAGAGCTCCCAAGACGTCCCAAGAAAGCTGCACGAGGACTCCCCAGAAGACCCCAAGAGGCAACACTCGTCACATGTCCGCAGAACACGTGCAGTTTGACATCTGCGCCTTTGTCGTCTCAACAGCGCCGACGCAGCCCACGAGGTCCCCAATACCGCCCCAAGACCTCCCAGGGTGCCCGCATGAAGGCTCCAATAAGTCTCGAGATAGCTCAAGACGCCCCAATGTTGTGAAAGAAGGCCCGCGGCTTCCAAGAGACGCACAAGATGGACAACTAGACTTAAGTCGGGCCTGTCCACCTACACGGGGAGCTTGGCAGAAAAATTAAAGATACCCCCAAAATACTCCCAGAATGCTAAAACGTAGTCAAAAATTAGTCCCCAGACTATTGTTGAACTATTTTTGACTATTCCTCCTGTAGAGGGACAGGCCCGACTTAACGCTAGACATGACACGTTGAGTCCACCCATGCCAGACAACCCCCCAGACCCCAGACCGCCCGCGGACTCTCCAGAGGCCCCCGAAGAAGCCGAGAGGCCTCCAGGAGGCTCCAAAGAGGCACCCAGGAGGTCGAGAAGAAGCCCCGAGCACAGACCAACGACGCCCCAAGGGGCATCAAAACCTTCCACGAGGCCCCCGACAGGCATCTCAATAGACCCCAACATGCATCCAAGACGCATCTGGCTCACGACCCAGGCAAGGAGGGCACGATACTATGCTAGCGGCAAACTTGTGATTGTTCTTTCATGGCCGATCTTTCCGGTCTATCATTCTCATGCCATAACTTACGATGATGTACAAATGAAAATACGTGACGCCGCAACGCTGCCCACTTACTTCCTGCCGCACTCTGGGAGAACGAACGCCAACCACAACTTACGCCTGATCCCGGACCTGTGAACCGCAGCGCAGGCACGGTGGCGGGATGGGCCGAACGCTATTCGAGACGCATGGCCATGGATTTCAGCATGTGCCCAACTCGAACACGCATGCAGAATGGCGGGCATTCGTACTATTCCAGTAGGAGCTGGCTCATGGGAAGTGGTCGCTGCTACATGGTGCTCTGAAAGGACTTCGGGGATTCGGTGAACCCCTCTCGGCGTGTCAGCGTGATAGACTTCAGATGGAGGGCGCTCGCTGATCATTTTGGGGGTCCTGTCGTTCTGGGCGCGGGCGGCAGGGCCACGCTGGCAGCGAGGCAGAGGCCCTAACGCGGGACGGCCACTGCGGCACAAGACCCGCCTCTCGCGCTGTGGCACGACGCGAAGATTCAAAAATATCCTGGCGAAAGTGACAGTGCCGCAAGGCAAGTGGGATGAGGGAGGGGGAGATTCCCAGTGGAGCCACGAAGCGCGCCTGGGGTGCGCCGAAATGAGCGGGGAGCCACATGTGGACGCAGCCACTGAGGACAAATCGTGTGAGTGGTGAACCACAACGAAGGGGAGCCGCTGTTGTTGCACCCAATGACGCATCTGTCAGGTGGAGTTCCCGATGGCACGACGAAACATGTGAGAGGTGCGCCGAATTGGGCGGGGATCAGGTGGCAAACTGGGGCCTTCTGTGGCGCTCGCGAAGGGGCCACGAAACGTGTGAGGGGTTCGCCGACATGGGCTGGAAGACGCTTTGTGGTACCACTCCGTGGGGTTTTGGCGGAGCTCCCTATGGAGCCACGAAGACATGCAAAGGGTGTGCCGAAATGGGCTGGGGAACCCTGTGCGGTACCACACCCTGGGGCGTCCGGTGGAGTTCCCTATGGGGCCACGAAGCTGGTGAAGGGTGTACCGACATGGGCTGAGGGACGCTGCGCGGTACTACCACCTGGGGCGGACGGTGGGGCTCATTGTGGGGCGCCGGAACGCGTGAGAGTTGTACCGTATTTGGCTGGGGGCGCTACGCGGCACCACCCGCGGGGGGCGTTCGGTGGAGCGACCAGTGGGGTCACGAACCGTGCGAGAGGAGCCGAAATGGAGCTCCGTGTGGGGCCTCGAAACGTGTGATGGGTGCGCCGAGGTGGGGCACGAGAGGCAGGACTGGGAGGAGGAGAGAGGGACAGGAGGAGGCATGCCGTTCCTCCGCAGACTACGCGGGGAGCTGTCTTCTCAAGACGAGGACGGTTGAGAACTCCGACGACCCTTTATGGCGTGTGGAAGACGCTGTTCTGTTTGACTCGTCGTCGTCGTCGTCGACGTCGCGTTTGACCCTCGTTCCCTGGGCCCGTCGCTGCTACCCACAGCACGACCTGCTGCCACGACGCTCGAAGAGGCCTCCAAGAGCACACCCAGAGAGACCCAACAAGCAAAAACTCAATGGCTCGCAATACGTTTGTGAGAAATTCTGGGCTTCTCGCGTGTTCGGTCTCCCGACGCTCTAAGACGGCCCAAGATGTCACCAAGATCGGCACACGAGGCCCGCAAAAGGTTCCCAAGACGGCCCCAAACCGACCCAGGAGGGCCCCAAGACGGTCCTGGAGGCCTCCCAGACGGCCTACGAAGCCCCCCAAACGGCTCCAAGAGGTGCCCACACGGGAGCCCGAACGAACATTTCGAGCCCTCGGCCCCGAGAAACTCCCAGGAAGCCCCAAAAGGCCCCCAAAAGGCCCCCACGAGGCCCCGTGAGGCCCCCAAGAAGTCTCCAGAAAACCGGAAGGGACTCCCAAGAGGCTCCAAAGAGGCCCCCAAGATGCTCCCGAGAGGCCCCAAAACTGCCCCCCAGATACCTACGGGCGCGCTCAGAAGAGGCTCCACGAAGCATCCCTGAGTACTCTGCCCCACGTCAACGTCGTCGTCGCCGCCGACGCCGCCGTCGTGGTCGTCGTTCCCCTTCATCATCGGCGGCACAAGCCATAAGGCCTTCCCAATAGGACTCGAACGCTCTTCATAAAATCAAGGCGGAGCTCAGATGCGCCACGTCTGATGCGGTCCCCACTTGCGGAACCATGATACTGTAAATCAAAACGCTGGTGAAACATCGTCATGCCCAAGCGCCCTTCCAACCTCTCTCCTTCATCCCCATCACAAAACAAGACACGTTCAACGTCAGCCGTGCGCAAATGTGGCCATCGAGGCACCGCTAAGAAACACGTCATTTCGTTTCAAAAATCTGCGGCCACTCCGCCGTGTGCTCGCTTGGCACCAGCGTGGCCATCGCGGCGCAATTGCCATCACAACCCGATCCCTTCCTTGGTCTCTCCTCCACGTCGCCAGACCGTGCCGCAACATTCTGCCCCCGCGTCTGACTTTTGGGGGGGGGGCGCGGCCTGGCATCATCCAATCCTCGAACCCGTCGCGCGTCTGCCTTGACCGCGTGACGGCTGGTCGGCCCTTCGTGGCGGCACGGGGCCGCAGAAAGGAAGGATGGAGCGCAAGTCTCCTCGCAGAGCTCCAGCATGATCAAACATGAGCTATGCCTCGCACATGCCTCGACGTCGCTGGCAACCGACTGCCCGCTCGTCGCCAAAAACAAGCGACGTCCTCGGCCATGACGTTGGTTGCACCTGTGAGCCATGCCAGCCGAGCAACAAGCTCAGGAAGCGACGGAGCGTCGCAGAAGGGACAATGCCCCTCAAGACGTATCCGAATGCCTGAGACTGATAGGCGACGCAAAATTGCGGGGCGCTGCGCAATTACGCAGAATGGCGGCACGCCGCAATCCGTCAGAATTCTCTGGCCCAAAGGGCCAACAGCGTGTGATATCGTCCAAGCGGGCAGCGTCAAACAATGCCAAAGGTTGGGGGAAGGAGACGGAAGTGGCCCCAACTGAGCATTCAGTTTCGGTTTCAGTGTGTGCCGTGCGCGCGGGCGAGACGACGCAACGCGAGGGCGATGATGTGTCGGCCATGGCCAGGGCCAAGTCGGGCCAACATTAGTTGACTGTTAGTTTTGTGAATTTGACTTTATGGCCGTTGCGGACTGCACTTGGCTGTCTTGGCGCCGAGATTACCCCAAGAGGGCCCAAGGGAGCCCTGCCCCCAAGACGTCACCCCGAGAAGCTCCTGGTAGACTGGTCCCCTGAAACCTCCCACACGTACCGAGAATTCCCAAAGGTGCCACGAAGGGGCTAAGCAGAAAAGAAAGATAATGTTATGATCTTCAAGTATGTTTGTTTGCCTTATCGTGTGCTCGGGTTTGGATTGCAAACAATGGGTGGCGGCGTGTTCCGTTGAGTGCTGCCCTCAATCTACCATGCGACAACTTCTTCCCCGTGCGAGTTGCACGTGACGGCTTGGAGAAACCACAACCTCCCTACAGCTTCCCACTGTGCACAGGCATTCTACCAAATTGCAATGATGCTGCAATCAGGGGCGGGCGGGATGCACGGAGCGGTTGAATACACACACGGGATTCCACGCGAAGCGTTTCAAACAGTTTGAAACGCCGCAGGTCCAGCTTGTTCAGTCTCACGTCACGCTCGAGGGCTCGGATCACGAAACTCGCGCGCCTCCCTAAGATCAGTAGTGGAGTGCCAGGAAGATAGGGAGGAGGAATGACGAGTGGATGGAAATGAGGTGGGACGAGGTGGCGGTGGTTGAAACAAGCACCTGGATTCCACAACGCTGGGTACGTCGAGGCTCAGCTCAGGTGCAGCATAAAGAACAGTGAAGATCAGTTTGTACGATCTGGGCAACGACGGGAAGCAGGACGACTTCTAGATGCGGAGGAGAAGGAAGTCCAGGAAGAGGGGACGCGTGGCAGGGAGTCGAGTTCATATTTTATATGCTGCGCGCCAGGCCAAAAAGACCTGATTTCACGCCTGCGGCTAATTACGCAGTTGGAGCGATCTTGGGGTCTGACACGGGCAACACCTCATGCTCGATTCGCCCGATCTCTCGCCGAATGCCGCACTCAAGCAGGTGGACGCAGCGTGTCTGAGAGTACAACGTGTAATTAGTCATTGCCCTCGCTACCACGCAAATCATTGTAGAAACCAAATGCACTTTCAGATTGCTTCACATATCCTGGCCGTTTTAGATGACGTCGGGTCGCGGGGAGGTCCTACAACTGGCCTCGGTGTATTTCCTACGCGTCGCGTGTCGGAGAACCGAACTCAATAATTACAGTTCCGACGATCCGGAAGCTCGGGCTTACTCATCGCACTCTCCACGGCGTCAGCACGTCTCCTCATCGTCACTCCCTGCCTGCCGTCAACCTGATGCAAGATCTGCCCTGGGGTGTGTGCGGGCCAACATTTCGAGGCGGATCCAGCCGTGCCCACGAGGGCGCCCCAAGAACCCCCAAAAACCCAACGACGTCTACCTGGGCGCCGGGAACGGGTACGGAAAGTATCGGCACGATGCCCAACGACGACTCTTGTCCAAAACCGACAGCGGCCACTGTCGGGCAGGCGACTGTCTGTTTCGAACGGACAACGCCCGCCGCGGCACCGACAACTAACCCTGTTCAAAATGAGCAGGAGCTGCTCTCAGGATTCGTGCTTCGTGCCCATTCTTTTCGTACCCATTTCGGTCGCACCGAGTCCAGGGCCTAGAAATGATGACCCCCGTGCCCGGACGCTCCAAGCCAGATTTGGGGCAACTCTGGGCCTGGGCTCGAGGCAGGCAGCCGGCCACCGAGGGGGACCGAGGCGGCACCGCCAGCGAGGATGCGCCACCGAGAGAGGAGCGCACTCGACCCTCGCGCCATCGCCTCTCGCGCCCTCGCCCTCGTCCTCGCCCCGCGTTCTCGCCCTCGCCGCCGGCGTCCTCGCGCTCGCTCATCGCCGCCGACTGCCCTCTCGGCGAGGGCTGCGGGGCCCGTTACCGCTGCGTCTGGCCAGGGCCACCCTGGGCTCTGGCATTCGGTGTAGTATAATTACCATGCCAGGGCGCAGGATGGTCCTGGCCAGGCATAGTGGTGGTGCATAGCTGCCTTCAGCGGATTTAAAGCAGCCGCGTGCGAACACTACCCAATGCGGACCACTCTGTCAAAGGCCCGCGGGGCCTAGAACTTGGAATAACGTCTGCGGCCAAGTGTGAGCCCTTCCCGGGGTCCCTGTTACAGGTTCGGCTCGCATGCGGCCGCGCACTCTTCCCCTCTGCCCTCCACTCACCACCCCCCTGCAAGGCCTCACTGCTCGGTCGCGTCCGTGCCCCGGATGAAGGGGCGGAAGCCCGAGGTGCGCACCCGGCGGTAGCGAGACCAACCCCACTTCTTCATGTTGGCCTCGAGCCCCTGCACGAGGCTCGGCGCGACGTTCAGGGGGTGCTGGCCAGCCTCGGAATCGAAAATGTGCTGGCCGTGCCAGGCCGCGGCGAGCGCGTTCGCGATCCCGGGCTCGTCGAAGTTCACGAAAGCGTGGCCTTTGTTCAGGCGGGTGTCGAAATCGCAAGGCACGTGCAGGAAGTCGTACTTGCCAGCGTAGCCGCTGGAATCGAGCAACGACACGACGTCCTGCTGCGACAAGCGGCTGGGGATGTTCCGGATCATCAGCGTCGTCACAGCCCCGTCGCCGCCCACATCGGCGTGGTGCCCCCGTGCTCCGCCCTGGACGTACGACGCCGTCCCTAGAGGTCTCCCAAGTGGGGTCCGAGTAGATGGGATCGAGAAACGTGCCGCATCGTCGATGCATCGGCGACGTCGGCGATGCATCGCAGCCGCCGGCTTGGCGCAAACCAGGCTCCGCATCGAGCCGCATCGTCCATGCGGCGCGACCCTCCATCTACTCTCATCCCATCTGGGAGGCCTAGGGCGCCGCCCTGCACGCACGCCGCCGCCCCCGCCCCCACGCCGGGGCCCGGGCCTGCGGCAAATGGTCCCGCCGAGTCGGCCGCGCGCCGCAGTGGCGCGGCTCCGCCGCGCCGCGCCGCGGCCATGCGCCGCAGGGCGCACCCGCCGCACCCGAACTCGTCGTCGGTGTCGGGCCACCCGCCCTCCGGCATGCCCGCGGCGCCGCCCTGCTCTCGAGCAACAAAAAAGGCACAGGCATAAGCTCTCCGCACTCCGCGCTGATTTCTTGGATGGGCGCTGGAGCCGCATGGCGGCCCCTCTGGCGCCGTCACTGGCCCGCTCTCAGCGCGCCACGGAGGGGCTTCCGGCGCCCACCTAAGAGCTCCGCGCGGACCTCCGAAAGTTTAGGTCCATGCTGGTTTCTGTTCCTCGATGCTCGAAGCCGTCGTCGGTGTCTGGCCACCCGCCCTCGGGCGCCTCGAGGGAGCAGCTGGACGACTCGTCCACAGTGCTGGCGCGCGCGAGCTCGCACCAATCCGTGCCGCAGGCGCCCTCGTCGAGCCCGATGCGGGGCCGCGCGCCGCAGCTGTTGGGCAGCGGCTTGGGCAGCGGCAGCGCGACGAGGGCCGCCCGACCTGCCATGGCGGAGCCGGCGCCGCCCTCTCGGGGCTGCGGTGGCGCGCTCGGCGGGCAGTGCCAGCTGGGTGACCGCCTCGAGCCGAAGTCGTTGACCACGGTCAAGGTCGGCGATGGCTGTGCAGGGGCGTGCGCGCTGACCACCTGACCACCTGACACAAACGGCTTCCTGCGCTAGCGGGCGGCCTTCTTTCACTGTCTTCACAACAGAGTCAGGGTGATGACAGCCACCAAATATATATCACGTGCATGCGTGGGAGCACCGTTGGCACAGCGACGCGAGCGCAACTCCGGAACCAGTCGACAGGCTCCGAACATGATTAGAAAGATGATGATGGCGAGGAGAAGGATTCGCTGCGTGAGGCAGCCTGTGACCCAGGCAAATCTGTCCTGGGCTGGGCCAAAGTGCTCCAGGCCCAGGAGCTTGGGGTAGACTACAGCAACATCCTCTGACCACTCGTCGATCAGCGTAGCCAGCTGCATTCCCTGGCAGTGCAGAAGCGGAGAGCGTGAGGACAGAACGGAATGCGGGTGAACAATCATCCCACCAGCCCGCTGGGTGCAGATGGTCTAACAAATGCTTCTGCTCTCTTCCAAAGCCCTCTTCTCTTCCGGGAGTGATGCCCCCTCCCTCCCCTCAAGGAGATTTTTTTGGAGGGGTTCGCGAGGTGGCAGATGGTCCTTGTTCGCCAAACGTGGCTCCAAGAGGGCTGCGGATGCTCCAGGATGGCTCCAAGGCGGCTAAAGACGCAACATACGATGTTTCAAGATGGCTTCCGACATCTTTAGGAGGTACCATGAGGGCCACACGACGGTTCCAAGTGCTCTCGTCTCGAAACCCACTCACGACCCCTCCCAAGGAGGCCAGCATCCTTCAAATACAGAAGGACAGTCTGATAGACAGCGTAGACCCCCAACAGTGTGCTTCTAGCAGTATATGTGGTGCGACATACGCGGTGCGTTGTGCAGTCTATGTGGTGCCATCTATGTAGGCTGTCCAATAGTTCTGGAGCGACCTATGTGGTGCAATCTATGTGGCGCAAGATATGGTGTGAATCGATGTGGTGTCTATGTGGTGCAATCGACGTGGCAAAATGTATGGTGCAATGTATGCTGCGCACTCTGTGTGGTGCAATCGTCGTGGTGCAACCTATGCGGTACAATATGTATGTTGCAATCCACGTGGTGCAATCTAAGGTAGGCAATCCACTTGCCGAACTTGAAGTTGTCAACTCCACTGCTGACGCAATCATCCCACCCACCCACCCGCAAGTTGATTTGCAAAACCCATGCTGGAGCGATTGCGATGAGTGCTGGGTGCTGGATGTCGTCGACGACGGCGGCGACGACGACGACGCCGACGTCGACGACGACGAAAACGACGACGACGCCGACGCCGACGACGACAACGACGACGACGTCGCCAACGAAGACGACGACGAGGGAGGCGGGAGGACGACGACGACGCGAACGACGAAGAAGGAGGAAGGACGGCGACGCCGACGACGACAACGACGAGGGAGGAGGGAAGACGACGACGACGACAACGATGACGACGACGACGGCGACGAAATAGGAGGGACGACGACGAGACGCCGACGACGGAAGACGACGACGACGACGACGAGGAAGGAGGAGGAAGGACGACCACGGCGACAACGGCGACTGAAACGACCGCGACGCCAACGAGGACGACGACGACGAACACGAGGAAAGACAGAGGACAACGTAGGCGACGACGACGACGCGGGAAGAGGGAGGACGGCGACGACGACGACGACGACGAAAGAGCGCGCGCGCACGCTTTTGTTGAAAACTTGTGTTGCGAAACCTTGTGTTTTTGTATGTTTTTTGAACACACGATTTTGAAATCCTTCCGAAACCGATGGGTTTTGAAGGTTTTCGGCGTACGCGCGCGACGACGCGCGCGTCTGCACTTCGTCCTATTTTTTGCAAAGGATTCTCGCGACGGCACACGCGCAAGGGCGTTCGACAGACTTCGACACGCGCGCGCGAAGCCCGTTTGAGGGTATTTTGTGAACATCTTGAATCACCTATGGTTTTCTTAAGATTTCGCGAGAGCTCGCGCGGAAGCTTTTTCAGCAAATCAGTGTTGCGAAATCCTGTGTTTTTGTATGTGTTTTGGAAACTCGATTGCGAAATCCTTCCGGCACCGAGGGTTTTTGAAGGATTGCGGCATGCGCGCGCGACGACGCGCGCGTGTGCACTTCGTCACATTTGTTGCAAGGGATTCGCGAAAAAGTCTTATGTTAGAGCAAAAACTGTCCCCGCGTATCGTTTTTTACAAAGGAAACTCGGGGGGGATACCGGTTGGCCTGGGACATTGTGATTTCATATTTAGGATGGACATGTGGTCAGAATCATATGTGATTTACATTCCCGAAAGGGGTAGCGATAACGCCGGGGAGGGGTAGAGTCGATTCTCTTTTTAGAAAAGAGAATCTAGGCAGCGACGTGGTGGCGACGGGGCGGCTACGGCGCGCACGGAGCCGCCAAATCGCCACCCAGGCCCAAAGACGGGCGGCGACGGGGCGGCGACGGCGAGCACAGACCGCCATCCAGGCCCAGACCAGACGACGGGCGGCGACGAGGCGGCGACGGGGCGGCGACGAGGCGGCGACGGGGCGGCGACGGCGAGCACGGAGCCGCCAGACCGCCACCCAGGCACAGTTCCTGAGACCAGGAGTAAGAACCCCTAGATAAAAGCACTGTTTGGGGAATCTGATGTTTGCCTCTTCGCCATTTCTCTTCGGATGCGGTTTGCAGGCCTCAAGATAGGCCCAAGATGGCCCACAGACGGCCCCAAGAGCGCCCAGGAACGCCCCAAGAGCGCCCCAAGAGGGCCCCCAGAAATTGTTTTTAGGGCTCTTGAGGTGGGGCTCTCGATCAAGGACCGCCCCTTTTGGTCGAAGGCCTCCCTGTCATGCTGGCCCCAAGATGCCCTCCGGGGCCCCAAAGACGCCCAGGGCTCCAATAGCACTCCAAGAGGGCCCCAACCTCCCAAAACAGCCCGGAGGGGGGCCCAAATACACCACCCAAGAACAACCCAACAGGGCTCCGAGAGAGCCCCACGAGGCCCCAGATAGCTGCCGGAGTCCTCGTCGTTATCCTCCTCTCCTCCTCTTTCTCCGCCTCCTCACCCGCCTTATGCCCCTCATCCACTCAACATTTCCACACTCGCACTTCTACGCTGCTACCCCTGCACACGCTAAAACAAATGCACCATTGTTACCCGCTTTGATTTACTATATGTGTCTCTTCCTCTCGCTTCCCGTCAGCTCTGATGGACAAATGTTCTGAATGGGCTGATGGGGACGCGACGCGCGGGAGCGCAACGAGGGGGTATCCTCCTCAATTCCCTTCCTCCTCCACCCTCCCCTCGCCAAGCATCCGGCGGTCGGATGTGCCTTGTACCAAGGGCCCCAGACCTATCCATCCCATCTTCCGCATGGATTTGGCCGTCGCCCTCTTTGCTCCAAGAACTCTGTCGCCCCCCGCCAGATCTGCCGTTGAATCCTCCTGGTCCCCCTCCCCCGACGACGACGACGACACATCTTTTGTCGCGACATGGACCGCCTGAAGATTTCGGCCCCTTCCTGGGGGGCCCGCTGTTCCACCTGAGCCGTGTCTTGACAGTCCTGGGGCCAGAAACAGACCCTGGAGCGGAGGCGGTTACGGCTCTTCTGCAATGACCAGATCTGAGGGCCCCCCCTCCCTCCCAACGCTGACCTTGTCTTGCTCTCCCTGCCGTGTCGCCGCCGTGCCTCCCCAACGGCGCTGCTGGCGCGACGCCGAGCTCTCCCGCCCATCCTGCCCTGGGCGGCGTGCTCCAGAGGGCCTCAACCTCCCCCCTCTTCCTCCTCCTCCTCCTCCTCCTCCTCCTCCTCCTCCTACTCCTCCTCCTCCTCCTCCTCCTCCTCCTCCTCCCTCCTCCCTCTCCTCCCTCCTCCTCCTCCCTCCTCCCTCCTCCCTCCTCCCTCCTCCCTCCTCCCCTCCTCCTCCCTGCTCCCTCCTCCTGCTCCCTGCTCCCTGCCCTGCTCCCTGCTCCCTGCTCCCTGCTCCTGCTGCTCCCTGCTCCCTCCTGCTCCCTGCTCCCTGCTCTCCCTGCTCCCTGCTCCTGCCTCCTCCTCCTCCTCCTCCCCTCCTCCTCCTCCTCCTCCTCCTCCTCCTCCTCCTCCCCCCTCCTCCTCCCCCCTCCTCCTCCTGCATCCTCCCTCCTCCATCCTCCCGTTCCATGCTCCTGCTGCTACTGCAACTGCTCTTCCTCATCCTCCTCTTTGGCGATGTGATGCTCGCCGTTGCTGATCTTGACGAGCCGAACTGAGACTGGGGAGCGATCAGCCTGCCCTCACCGACGCTGGTCGGGAGGGCTCGGCTACTGATGGAAACGGAACGAGCGCCTACCCCTACGCTGCGTCCCCTCGCAGATGACCATGATCCGAAGCAAGAGGAATACGTCGAGCTACAATGGAAACCAGAGAAGGAGGACGACGACGAAGTGGGAGGAGGATGAGGAGGAGGAGGAGGAGGAGGAGGAGGAGGAGGAGGAGGAGGAGGAGGAGGAGGGGGGGGAGGGGAAGGAGGAGGAGGAGGGGGGGAGGGGGAGGAGGAACATGGAGGGGAAAGGACGACGGCAGCGGCGGCGCCTCCTCTATGGGTCCGCTGGGAGATAGTTTGGGGGCCTTGTGGTTGAATTTTGGGAACTGCCGGGGGCTTCTTGGAAGTCTACTGACGCCCTGTTGGGGATCTTCGGTGCGATTTGAGAGCAATGCTGGAGGCCAGCGATCAGATATGTTACGCCTTCGATGTCATTTTCCGTGTCGGAGCCCGATGGGGCTCGCATGCGGCGTTCTTGGCCACTCATGGGGGCCACCTTGAGGCCACAATGGACCCCTCTTGGGGCTCTCCCAGAGCGAGCCTGCAGCCGCCCTGGAAACCCGTCGGGGCGGAAAAGCAATTCGCCAAAACATATTGAAACAAAGCCCTATTGAAAGCGTTGGCCTCTTGGTGCCAACCTCTGGAGGCCCCGTGGCCACTGGGGGCCGTCCCAAAGCGGTCTTGGCAATTCCCCACAGCACGCCGGAGCTCATCTTGAACAATCTAGGACCATCGAGGGCCACGTTGGAGCCATTGTGGCAATACTGAACCTTCTAACTGGTCGCGGGGGAAATGGCGGGGGGAGATGGAGGAGGCGTAATTCCCCTCCGAAGGGGAAGAACGGGGTGGAACTGTTAATCTTCGATGGGTGCTGTATTGTTTGATTTGCTGTGCTCTTGGGATTTCTATCGCGCCCTTGGACACCCGAGTGGGGTCCAATGCGCCGCCGGCAGAGAATCCCACACGGGGCCTCGAGGCCAATCTTGCGGCGCGTCGCAGGCCGCGGAGCCTGAAGGCAAGGCAGGAACGGTCAGCCAGGGGGGAGGCACTGGGCCCCGGTAGCCACGATGTTTTGCCCCTGGTGGATGCTTATTTCTATCGAAGGCGACTCCACCGACGGGCGGACGGAAGAGCGAGAACCCGCTGGGCCAAAGGAGTGTTAGATCCTCCACACAATTTTTTCTGGTCGGGAAATTTAGATATCTAGCTCCCGCGCGCGAGGGCTGCCCTGGGGGGTCTCCTGACCTACGTAAATGAAGCCCGAATCGCCCCAAGAGCGGGCGAAAGCGTGCCAAGAACGCACCAGCAGCGCTGGTCAGTATCTGCCAGGCCCCGTGCTGGCCCCAAGACGGCCACTAAACACCTGAAAGTGGTTTCAACATTGCCGCAGGACGGTCCAAGATGGTCCCAGCTAGCCTGATGGTCTTCAACGACGGCACCAAGGGGCCTCCCAAACGCCCCAAGAGCCCTTCAAGACGCCCCGAGAAATCGCGAAGACGCTGCACGAAGCCTCCACGAGGCTCCCAGCACATAGAACCCGAAGATCCAACATGATTTGTTTGGTGTGTTTGCGTGCTAGAACATTCGCGTTTCTTTATCTATTTGAGCTTTCTTCAGCTCAGGACGTCCCAAGAGGCCTCTGAGAAGGCCCAGAGACGGCCCAAGAGGGCCAAGAAGAGGGCCCCAAGACGGCCACGGTCCCTTGGCGGCCCCAAGAGAGCCTCAGGCTGGTGCAGGAGGGCCACTGGAGGAACCAGAGACGACCTTAGAAGGCTCCTCGACGGTCCATGGGATCCCCAAGAGACCCTCCAAACGGCAAATACGACCCCAAGACCGCCCAACAGAGCCCCAAAAAGGCCCGGGACGGCCCCAATATGGCCCAAGAAAGCTTCAAAGACATCCCCAAGAGGGCCTGATGACACTAATATCAACGATCCCCATTGCGTGTTTGAACGATTTGCGATCCTTTACCTTTTCGAATCGCTTCAGAACAATGCGTTAAAAAAAGGCCTCCGATAATGCCGAGAACGGCCCAAGAGGGCCCCCAAATTGCCCCCAACATGGTACCAGGACGGCCTGACAACGGCTCCAAGAGAGCCCCAAGCTGGCCGAAGAAGGCCGCTAGAGGGCCTGAAGACGACCTTAAAGGACCTGAGCGCCGCTAGAGGGCCTGAAGACAACCTTTTTTTCCGAACGTACTTCAGCTCAAGACCGCCCGATAAGCCTCCTAGCTCGCCCAAAAAGGGCAGCACAGGGCCCAGAAATGGCCCAACAGGGCCCCGAGAGCGCCTCCAGATTGCCCAGGAGACACTCTAGGCGGCTCAGCCGAAGACGGCCCCCAGACGGCCCCAAGGCCAGACGGCCTAGAAGGCCCAAAGACGGCCCGGGACCCAAGACAGCCCAAAAAATCCCAAGAAGACCCCACCCCACAGCGCCCCAAGATGGGCCAACAATGCGCCCAAAAAGCCCTCAGGGGGTCGAGGGTAAGTTCTCGCACGCTGTTTGGTGGTCTCTCCAAAACCCCTCTCTGGGACCGCAGGGGGTGCTCCTCGTTCTTCCTCGTTGCCATTCCTCCTCCCCCTCCTCTTCCTCCTCCTCCTCCTCCTCCTCCTCCTCCTCCGACTTCTCCTGATCCTTCCTCTCCCTTCTCATCCTCCACCTCCTCCTCTTTTCATCCCCGTCCTCCTCTTTATCCATCCTCTGGTATATCTAGCGGCTGCTCCCCCCGTGCGACTCCGAAGCGGCAACTCCGTGAAACTACCGCGACCCAGCTACTTCCACGACCCCGCGGGCACACAGGCGAATGGCAACAATTATACAGCGATGGCCGGCGGAAGGCGCGAAGCGATTGCATTCGCGGAAGGGCGAGCACATCGACAGGAAGATGGAGGCATATGCAGCGGTGTGGTCGGACGACTGATTGTCTGCTCCGTCGCCTCCTCCTCCTCCTCCTCCTCTTATTCGCCCCCTCCTTCTCTTCACCCTCCCCCCTTTCATCAATATCTTGATGTTTCCCTGCCTGACGGTTTCTCCTGCTTGACGGCACGCGCGACGACAACGGCATGAACGATGGCGTTGGATATTGATCGACGTAGCGGCCCACATCGTCTTGCCCCCAGGTCTCTGCCTGCAACCCGCAGCAACGGCGCGCACCCCGCGCGCGCAGAGTGCGCAAGACACGGCATGCACTGAAAATCGTCTGTTCAACGACGAAGGCGGCCCAGCCTATGTATCCAAGACCTTTTAGTCGAAGGCCGCCTTCGCGGCCGCGTCGAAGGCGGCCGCCTTCGCGGCCGGCTTCGCGGCCGCCTTCGCGGCCTGCCCTTCGCCTTCGGCTTCCCCGCAGGGGGCTTCGCCCCGGCCTTCGCTGGCGCAGCGGCGCCTGCTGCGGGCGCGGCCAACGCGACGGCTGCGCCGGAGCTGGAAGACGGGGCAGCACCGCTGCCTTTGGCAGCGGTGCCCGAGCCAGAGCAAGGAGTCTTCTTGCCGACCGCCATGTCCCCGCGAAACAAAGCGTCGAGGACATCTTTGCAGCGCTCCTGGCCAGGCGTGAAAAGGCCGTCGATCGGGCAATCACCCGGGCGGAAACGATTATCCCGTAGCCAGAGCACCCAAGCGCACTGCAACATCAACTGGCACGCCTTGTCATGGCCGAACGGAACCCACGGCCTGGACCACCTAGGATACGGCATCGGGTGCACGTGCCACCCTCCCGCTCCCGCGTTGCATCGCCAGATGCTCGCGTTCGGGGGGCACATACGAGAAGCTTCTGGCTGGGTGATAGCACCTTTCGGCAACTCGAGCGGCCCCTTGTACCTGTGCAAAGGGCTCTCTGGCTTGGAGGCATCAGGCTCCGCTCGCTCAGGTAGAGCATGCACCTTGCGGTTGTGCTCCAGCCAGTGATCCGTGAACTCGTCGGTCTCGAGTTTCATGCTCTTGTAATCCTTCGCTCTCTGCCTCGCCTTCTTCTGGTCGTCCTTCGAGATGACGTCGTCGCACTCGTCAAGCTCGTAAAACTCCTCGAAGTTGAAGAAACTCGCCGTGGTCCGCGTCTGCAAGATGGCCGACAGGTCACCCGGGGCCAGCTCGGGCAGGAAAAGCCGCACGAGGATCCGCAACGTCTCGAACAGGTTCAACGTCCGATCGAACTCTGGCACGGCAACCTCCCCGACTTCCCTCAGGAAGGGCAGCTTGAAGTCGTAAAAGGCCTCGCGCGCCACGGCCCGATACAGGTTCTCAGGGCCGCGGATTGGTTTGAAAGGCGCGCACATGGTTGCTATGTCGAGGGCAGCTGCATCGGCCCCGTTCCGCGCGTACTCGTTCACCGGAGGGTCGACGGCGACGGGGATCGCCTCCGCGTCGGCGGGGTTGCAGATGACCATGGCGCGCGCCTTCTTCGCGTCGTCGTCGACCGCCAGCTTGTAGACGCCGCGGGCAGCATCCTCGACGACTGGGTGGACGAGCAAGACGACGTCGCTCGCATTGCCCAGGACGCGAACCATGGGTTGGCAGCGCCGCCCTGCCGGAGAAGCAAGAGGCCCTTACCGGCGATCGCGCGCATCCAGCAATGCCTCATGTCCCCCAGCTTGTCGTTGGCAATGGCCCACTCGGTGAGGTACAAATCGGCGACGCACTGATTGGAATTAGCAGCGCCAGGGGAATTCCACGGCGGAGTGCTGTAGAATGAGATGATCTGGGACAGCTTGAATCTCTTGTCGGCGCTCCTCGGCGCAGGCTTATACATCTTCTTGGGGAGCTTTGGGTTCCGTGGTGTCCTCTGTCCACGCGTGCAGAGGTCCTGGAACTTGTGGACCTTGCTCAACACCTCCTTGCGGATGAGCGTCTCCCAGACCTTGGAAGCGCCGAACTCGTCGGTCTTGGCTTTTTCCTGTGCGCGGCGGGCTCGGTTCCCAGCGCCCTCGCACACTCTGCTGCCGACGATGCGGTAATGCTCTCGCTTGGCCCAATCGAGCAGACGAGGGGTGGGTTCGAAGCCTGCCTCCTCGCAGACCTTCGAGAGCTGCTTACCCAGGAGACCGCTGAAGGTGGAACGGCGAACGACCTTCTTGATAAACGCGTCCTTCACACCGTCCAACTTCCTGAAGTTCTCCAAGTCCCTCCTGACCTGATCAAGGAAGCCCCGGGCGCGCTCAGGATCGAGCAGTAGGACGGATTGACGAAGAGGGCCACGGAGAAGATGCAATGTTCTTCTGATCTTGTTGCCGGCCATGGTCAAGGCGAACTTCGCGGCCAAGTTGGCTTGCTCTTGCTCCCACACAACCATGGGGTGGTCCAGGTCCAGGGCAGGGGCGTTACGGAATGTGATGGACAACCCAATGTATTCCAAGTCCCACGGCTGGTTAAAAATGTCGAAGGTGTCACATATAGGATTGAAAAATGTGCCTCGCAGAGCTTCCAATTGCCATTTCACCACGCCCTCGACACTTCTGCACCTCCTGGAGCGAGATCCAAATGCTTTCTTGTAGCGTTCGCCGATGCTTGCGATGATGCGCTGCTTAAACCTGTTGTCAGGGCTCTCGTACATGAGCATCGCGATCTCGGAGGCATCCTTCGTCGCTTTCCTCATCTCAGAAACCTGGTTGCTGGCTTGTTTCGTTGGCGGCAGTGGCGCCGCGCCGACAGGGGCCGTGATTGAGGCAGACGTCTGCTCCAATAGTAGGAACTTCTTGGGGTCCACATTGCCGCGCATAGCATTGATAATCGAAAACCCAAGCCCTCGCAATGCGAAAACCGCGTCTCCTTCAATGACACGCGTCACGGCGTCCATGAACCTGCTCGAACTAGCAGACGCATACCTGTTGGTAAAAGTGGGGTGTTCTTTGACAAGCTTGAGAACTTTCCCAGCGATGCCCTCCTCGGTGATGCGCTCCTCCATGTCGAGATCCATGAGTAGTTCAGGCAGCTTGCCAAGGAAATACTCGCATCTCTGGGGGTCCGTGACTTCCAGCCACTCACCAACAGCATCTGCGATCTCGATGTGTCTGCGACCCTCGCCCCATGGTCCTTGATGGGCATTGCGGGCCAGCTCCATAAGTTTCTGGTGGGGGTACAATCCACACTTGACGATCGTATCGTCCATGTCGTTGTGGTCACCATGGTCGTCGTCGTCCAAGATCTCCAAACACACTCGGAGGGGGCCGAATTGGCAGGCGTTTGCAGCAGCCAAGCCATCGGACCCCTGATCAGCAGCCACTGTGACGTCCGGCCAGTCGTACGCCGACACGGTGGCCTCCATATCAGTGGTCACCACAAACTTGTCCAGGCCCTGCCCGGTCGTCACCATCAAGGCGTTGTCCAAGCAAGACAACCACCGAAAGGCCTTGGCTCGGTGAGGTTTCTTGGCTGGGCGGGGTTCCTCGTCCTCGGGCGGCCCTCGCTTTAAGAAAGCCCTCGCCCTAGATCTCCACGTCTGGAATAACTCCTCTTTCTTGACAGAGTCAGCGTCCCTCAACTGCACTCCGATGTAACTGTCATACGTTCGCTGCTCCTCACCGCGGTTCCCCCAAAGCAGGATGTGGTCAGAAGGAGGCGATGTCTTGGGAGCACTCTTGGGAGCTGTATGGGAGTTCCCGCACTCTTGGGAAACATATGTTGCCGTCTTGGAAACCTCTCGGAAACGGGCAGGCCGCTTTCGCTTGAGACATCCTCGCAACTCTTACCTCGGAGGTGCCCTGCCCCATTGTGCTCTGGACACTTTCGCCTGAGACATCTTGGCAACTGTGGGTTCGGGCATTCCCTGAGCTCTGGTGTTTTCAGGCCACTTTCGCCTGAGACATCCTCGCAACGCTGACCTCGGAGACGCCCTCCCCCACAGTGGTTCGGCCACTTTCGCCTGAGACATCCTCGCAACGCTGACCTCGGAGATGCCCTGCCCCATACTGTTCAGGCAACTTTCGCCTGAGACATCCTCGCATGTCTGATCTCCGCGGTGCCCTACTCCATGGTGGTTTGGCCACTTCGCCTGAGGCATCCTCGCAACTCTCGGTTCCGAGAAGCCATGAGCTGATGTCGTCAGGCCCCTTTCGGCTGCGACATCCTCCGAACTCTGACCTCGGAGATGCCCTGCCCCATCATGCCGAGCAGAAGGCTCAATTCGATAGAGGAATCTGCGGGTTCCGAGATGCCCTGAGACATCCTCGCAACTCTGGATTTCGAGATGCCCTATGCAGGTGGTCACTGCCACTATCGACTGCGACATCCTCGCAACTCTGACCTCGGAGATGCCCTGCCCCCTGGTGGTGCGGCCACTTCGCCTCAGACATCCTCGCAACTCTCGGTTCCGAGATGCCTTGGGCTGATGTCGTCAGGCTCATGTCGCCTGCGACATCCTCCGAACTCTGACCTCGGAGATGCCCTCCCCCATCATGCCGAGCAAGAGGGCTCAACTCGATAGAGGAATCTGCGGGTTCCGAGATGCCCTGAGACATCCTCGCAACTCTGGATTCCGAGATGCCCTATGCAGGTGGTCAATGCCACTATCGACTGCGACGTCCTCGCAACGCTGACCTCGGAGATGCCCTGCCCCCTGGAGGTCTGGCCACTTTCGCCTGAGACATCCTTGCAACTCTGAGCTCCGAGATGCCCTGAGCTGTGGTGGCCAGGCCGAGAAACAGCCCCAGAGGGCTTACGAGGGCTACAAGACAGACCATAGGGGGGGGCTTGGGTCCCAGAGTGTTGGCTCAATGCCGCCAGGCGGGAGTTACAGTGCATCACCCTCATCGTCATCCCCACCAGCGTCCTTCGCTTTCTCTGGCTACTTACCCCCCTCTTCCTCATTCGTCCTCCTCTACCCCCCCTCCTCGTCGTCGTCGTCCTCCTCCTCCTCCTCCACGTGCCTCCTCCTCCTCCCTCCTCCCTCGTCCCTCCTCCTCCTCTTCCTCCTCCTCCTCCTCCCCCTCCTCCTCCTCCTCATCCTCCTCCTCCTCCTCGTCCCCGCTCTCTTTCCCTCGCCCCCCACTTCCTCCTCCTCTTCCTCCTCCCCCTCCTCCTCCTCCTCCTGCTCCTCCTCCTCCTCCTCCTCCTCCTCCTCCTCCTGCAATCCGGGAGGCAAAACGTACAATCAAGAATGAGGCCCAGGAGGTGGGACTTTGCGCATACGTGCAAACGTTTTCTTGATTTTCCCCGGGCTTTCGAGGTATACGCAAATGCCCTATACGCAAATGCCCGGTTTCCAAAATGGATTCCTGAGCCTCCCGCCCGGTGTTCTTGATGCTGCCTGTGCCCCCGCAGGCCGCAGGGCAGCTGAAGTCGGGGGGTGTCTTGGCGGTTTGCTTTTTCATCCTCCCTCCCTCCCTCCGCTCTTCCACCTCCCCCCCCCTCTCCCACCTCTGGCCCCCTTCCCAACGGCCCCCTTCCCCCCGAGCGGGTCGCCTTTCGCAGCCGCTACGGGCTACGACGCCCCCGCGCCACGATGACAGCGACAGGGAGGGGCAAGGGGAAAAAGGGGGAAAGCAGAGGAGGAGAAGGGAGGAGTCAAAGGAGGGAGTAATTGTTGCGATCCGTCCTGGGGCGGCGCCCACGACGCCGCGTTCTTGTTCCCCACGACGGCGCAGAAGAAGTAATGCCTCTTAAGCACTTCGACGACGTCTACGGCGCAGTGGACGTGCAGATCGCATTCGAACGTCTCCCTCATGGCGAAAAAGTACTTCAAGAGAAATCGCGTCCTCGATCTGTGAGAATCGCAGAGCTCCTCCACGACGGTGATGCTCGAACCCGGGGTGCCCGCGGACGCGCTTCCCACGCCCGCGGCCTCGATTCGCCCGACCAGGAAGTTGTCAACCTCGACGCCTATGTGCCAGATCAGCTGCTTCCCAAACCAGAGAACGGGAGCGCCCCATAATAACACGACGGATACCAAGTCGGACAGACGGGGGTCGTCAGAACCAGACAGCAACTTGAAGAAAACATCGTTCTGCTTAGTTTGCTTCCCGGGCTTGTCACGGGTCGGTATCTGGCCCCAGACGGTCCGCAGGCTCTCGAAGTCAACCTTGCCGTTCTGAACACGGATAGCCCCAATGAGCGCGCCGACGTTGACGCCGCCGATGAGATCCGCATCGGCGGCGCGGTTGATGCGAATGTCGAACTGGTCGGGCAACAAGCGGATGAGGTGGTTGAACATCTTGGCGGAGGCCTCCCTGACGCGCAAGCACGGGCCACCGCCCGCATTGTGGTTGCTCTGCGTCCACGTCGCCAATAAAGCGACGCAGCCCATAACGGAGACGCCGTTTCCAAAGGCCAGCACATCGCCGTTCGCCTCGGACCCGGCGGTTCCAAAGTAATCCTCCCCACCTCCTATCGGCACGCACTTCCGCAGCACGGGCCAGTCTGCGAAGCCGTACTTGGCCAGGCGAGTCGACCACTTCGCCCAGCGAGCAGACGTCCAGCTCGACAACTGCGACAGCGGACCCAATTCCACGATAGCGTAGAAATCCCTGAGGCAGACGCACAGCTTTCTCCCTGCGTAGCACTGCGGGAAATAAGCGAGTCGCATGGCGCGCTGGCCGAACACCGGGTCTGTCCACGCGAAGACGTCGTGGCTGTTAATGAACCTGTCGCGCCACTGCTTCTGTTGCGACTCCTTGTCCACGACGAACTCAGCGCCGTTCGGCGCCACGTAGGCGTCGCGCGAGAACCAATGCGACGCCCAGCGCCCCTCCGACTTCGAGTCGAGGTGCGCGTACCCTTTCTCGTCGTACTCCACGGCCCACGCCTCCCCTGCAGAAGGGTTCCAGATCTCGCGCGCCTGCTGCATATGATCCCAGACAAGCCAGTACCTGCGCGGAGGGCCGTGGTCGACCCTGAGGCGTATATCTCGCTGGTGCCTCAACTGCCCGCCCCCTGGGAGGGCCAGCGCCATGCCGACTCTCCGAGACACGTGGCAACCGCAACAAAATGTCGTTCGTTTGGCTGCCAAGCCCCTGAAAGATAAGCCCGGGCAACCACGGCTGCGGACGATGAGACGGAGTCCGACGCGATTGGGCGCCCGCGTCCCCGCGGAGGGCCAGGGGCGCATCATGGAGCGAGCACGGGCGCCCCGGGGCGCCCGTGCACTTCGTTTCCGACGTTGAAGCGACGACTGGCGGCCACGACAGACTAACGAAGTTTACTGGCTGAGGTCACCGTGATCGGCCTCGCGCGTGTGAGCTCGCAATCCTTCCATGGCGCCTCTCGCGCTCGATCCCCTAGCAGAGGCGCACCCCCGAAGCCCGCGCGCTGCGCAGACAGCGATGAAGAAAAGTGAAAACTGCATCTGGCAAAGCCCTCGCGCCCCCCTGCCGCGCGCTAGCCTACGGCGAAGGATCTACGACGTGCCCGTGACGTCCGCAATTTGCACCCCTGGAGTCTCAGGCGGCGACAAGGCAGCGGACGAGGCAGCGGGCGAAGTGACCCCGCCCGACGGATGCTCGGGCGCCCCTGCCATCTCTGGCGCTGGAGCACCAGTGAGGCGACGCTTCTTGCGCCGAGACTGCGCCTCGGCGACCGTGTCAGTGATGGCGAGGTTGGAGCCCGAGGCTGCCTTCGCGGCCTTCTCCTTCACATCCAGGAACTCGTTCACCATCTCCTCGATGTGGTCGTTGTTCCTCACCACGACGTTGTGGAACACGCTGCCGGGCTCGAACGTGATGTGTTGGGCAGGGACATAGGGGGTCCTGTCCAGCACCCACTTCATGCTGACATCGCTCCAGGGGTTTACGGGCTTCCAGGCGCTGTCGATAGTGATACCGCGGCGCACCGACACCTCCACCTGCGTCTGGATATGTTTCACTATCTGAGCACCGCCATCGGCGTTGACAACAACGTACGGATTGGCGGCCGGCCAGTCGATGATCCCGGTCGCAAGGTCCACGTACTTCTCGGAGAAAACAACCAAGCTCCTGCACATCATCACGTAGCGCCTATCGTAAATCTCGAATATGACGGGCTTGGAGCGCATCTTTGGCGGGATCTTGGTACGGGGGCCGATCCCCGTCACGATCTCGGCGATGTTCTTCGAAGTGCCCTGTCCTGATTTACGGTCTATCAACTCCATAGCCTCTGACGTCAACTCGTGCTCTGTTCCCTGGAGCTTGGAATTGATCCACGCCCAGACGTACCATTTCGATATCTGGCCTGCAGTCTCGATGGCCTCCCAATCGATGTCCTTCTCCTTGGCCGTGTCCGGTTTGCTCGGCTCCTTCGAGGCATCCACTTCCAGGTCGGCCACCATCAGGATGATGTTGTCTGGGTTGTCAGTGAGAGACTTCAGTATGGTAACCATTCCGTTGAGGTATTTGTTCTCCAGCTTCTCCCCCGACACGCTTTTCATGAAGTCCGCCACGACCTTCTGGAATGTCTTCTTGGTCGTCTTGGTGTCTGCCATGGTGCCAGCTTGCACTAGCAGCTCGCGTGCTGGAAGGCGGTCCTTTTCGAAGCAATCTAATGCAAATTTAAGCCCGAACGGCGATGGACGACGAGGAGCAGCAGCAGCAGCAGCAACAGCAGCAAGAGATGAGGAAAGAAAAGGAAGAAGAAAAGGGAGGGCGAGCGGTTAGAGCGCCGCACACGCTGCGGCCTCACGGTACCAGAGGGGTGTGAACAAATACTATTCGACTTAATCGTGTGTGCAGCTCGCCGCGTGGCAACGACAAGTCCGAGCGCATGCGGGCAGACCCCATCGTAACGTGGCAGCGCAGTGGACGAACAAAACAAACACCGCTCAAATGAGGAGCGACGTCATGTTGCAACGCGTCAGACATATTCCTGGGGACGGTTTCCATAGGGACGTCGGTCTGGATTTATTCGGGGGCGGCATGGCCAGGGCAGGCACGCCGTCACAGATGGGAAGGAGAGAGTCGATGATCACGGGCGTGCAAATCACGAGGGAGAGAGAGAGAGAGAGAGGGAGAGAGAGAGAGACAGAGAGAGAGAGAGAGACAGACAGACAGACAGACAGACAGACAGACAAGGCTCCCAACGTGGCCCCAAGATAGCTTCAAGAATCCCCCAGGAGGTTCTAACTTCACAGTTGTCGACATCCATGTCTGCCATAGATGGCGCCGACAAGCCCCACGAGATCCCGAAGACAGCAAAAGACGGCCCCTAAAGGGGCCACCAAGACGGCCCACAAGGCCCACACGAGCTACCTCCGTCCTCTGCCTCGTCATCGTTTTCGTCGTCCTCTGCCTCCTCCGTGTATTCCTCCGCTTCCTCCATGTCCTCCTCGTCGCCCACCTACTCCATTCGTTACTTAATCCTCTCCTGGTTCATTGTGTTGTCCTCCTCCCCCTTTTTCTTCATAGTTATCCACCTCCCAACCCACATCATACTTACCGTCGTCCCCGTCGCCCCCATTCAACCGCGCATCCGTGCACTGCTACGCCCGCCCCGAAATCACACGGGCGCGAAGTCCGTATTGAACTCACCTCGACCAACTCCCCTTCTCCTCGCGCCTCGGTGTCCTACTCTTCTTCTTCCCTTTCCTCTACCTCTTGCTTCTCACGAGGGCCCTTCGTTCGCACGGATTGCGAGGCCCGACGGCATGACGGGGTCAGTGAAGATCATGAGAATCGGGCCCCAGGGGGAGCTCTCCTTGGATCAACTGGGATCCCAGGTTGTTGGGCCATCTTGGGGCCCTCTTGATAGCATCCTGGGACATTCAAGATGACACAAGACAGCATCCAAGATTGCGCGGGATAGCCCAAGTGGCCAAACCGAAGAAAACAAACAACACACAAAAATGTAAAAATCCGGCGAACCGCAGATTCCCTTATGAAATCAACCATTGTGCAGAAAATTGCGCGCAGCGTTCGAGCACAGCGCAGCCCCCAAGAAGGGGCATGATAGCCCAAGGAAAGAATACAAGCGAAACAACACGTTCAAGAAAAAGCTTCAGCCCGCAGATTCCCCTATGAAGGTAAACGTATAACCTGAACCCGCAGATTCCTCTATCGAACTGAGCCTTCTGCTGGACCCAGCGCCGCGTGCTCAAGCACAGGATGGTCTCCAAGTTGGCACTGGGTCGCCTAAGTACGAAATACAGGTCTACAAGAAGTTCAACAAAAAAGTGAACCCGCAGATTCCCTGATGAAATGGTTGTTTTTCCTGGACCAGGCGCCGCGTGCTAGAGCACAAGATTGGGGGCATCCAATATGGCATGTTTATCGGCCTCCGGGAGCGCCCGAAAACCACTCCTCGGCGAGAGCGGAAACGATTTCTTGGATTGCAGCTCCTTTGTTTTCATGAGAACAGTCATGGCAAATCTTACGGCACCGATTTTTAGGAAACCGCACCGCACGCACACCGCGGGCACACCACCAAGACACAGGCCACAAAATCGCAGCGACACGCATGAACACGTGAAAACACTTGCGTCATTTATGCTACACGTCTGCATGTTTTTCGGTGTGCTGGCGGGGCTTCTTTTGCAGGCCGGCTTGGGGGGAAACAGTTGTCTTCCCTTAAAGGGAATGAAAACAAATTCCCCCGCGCCAACCTGCGAAACGAGCACCGCCAACACACCAAAAACATGCAGACGTCTCATACAAATCACATAAGTGGCTCCACATGTTGATGCGCGTGGGTGCGCTTTTGTGCCCGGTGTGCTGGAGGTGTCCCCGTGGTGTGCCTGCGGCGTGGCGCGCGCGAGCGTGCATTTCAGTGGCGACGTCCTGGCAAAACCCTGTGTTCTGCATCGCGGCACGAAAACTCTAAACTCTTGCAAACACATGTGGTCCCCAGCGTCAATCTCCAGAAGTTACAAAAAACGATGTTTGAAAATTTTGCGAGCGCTTCCCCCTTCGAGAACACAAATTTTAAAGGCCCGCGCCCTCCCCGATTTGCTTACTATTTTCACTCCCCCTCTCAACTCTCTTCTCCTTTATTATCCCTCCCCTGGGCCCGTCCTCCCTCTCCTCGCCTTCCTCCTCCTCCTCCTCCTCCTCCTCCTCGTCCTCCTCTTTTACCTCATCCTCTACAAGTCACGGGGCATGTGGCGATATGACAGACGGCCCCCTTCCACCCCTTCCTTCTGGTCCATTGCCCCCCCCCCGGAATCCACAAAATCAGCGATCGATGTCCGCGAACGTTTTGCGATTGAGAGCGGACCGAAAATACTGGTTGAAACAATGCTACAAAACAGCATTGCGTCGACCAGGCGTGCCTTGATCTGTGAGGGCGGGCCAGGCACCGACGCCACATCACAAGACACTTTCGAAGCGCATCCAGCCGTGGCAACGAGGTGTCTCCCGAAAGCAATGAAAACGTATATGACACGAATGCGCCCGACTCCGCCGCCTCCTCCTCTGGCCGATCGCAGGTTCGACGTCCACGCCAAGTTCACAAGGGCGCTGGGAGAAGGGAGAAAAGGAGGAGGAGGAGGAGGAGGAGGACCGGACAGGTAAGGAGGGGCGAGGGCGGGGAGAAGGAGAGGCGGGAACTGCCAGGACGTCTCAGGCGAAATGGCCTGGACCATCTGAAATCCGGTCGTACGTATCGGAACGCACACTTGCGAGGATGTCTCATGCAATACGGTCGGAACCACTTCAAGGGGTTGGAAATTTTCCGACGCGCTGACCCCTCGGGCGGCACTCGTTCTTACCGCAGCTTTGCCACCCGGCACCCGCCTGGCGACCCAGAGACACTCCAAGACAGGACCTATTTGAACGGCAACAAACGAGAAGTTCCAATGTGTGTGTGTGTGTCTGACTGTGAGACGAAAGCGCCCTACCTCGCTACTACCTCACCCCGTTGCTTCTCCACCCCTTCCTCGTCCTCCTCCTCCTCCTCCTCCTCCCCCTCCTCTGACTCACCCTCCTCCACCTCATCGTCATCATCGTCGTGATCATCATCACCGTCATCATCATCCTTATTCTTCGTCCTGCTGTTCCACCGCATCGTTCAACAGGTGCCAGAATGCTCTGTTGTAGGATAGTACAGAACCAGCGAAACGGAAGACCCCGAAGGAGGGGCGAGGACGGGCAGAGGGAGAGAAGCGAGGGGGATCCAGGGTGGAGGGAGGGGAACAGAAGTGGACGAGCCGGAGGAGGACGAGGAAGACGAACTTGATAGTGACGAGGGTGACGATGATATAGCTGATGAATGGCCTTGATGATTAGCGAGGGTGATGACTCACCTTCTTGGGTGATGATAAAAGGAAAAACGTTGTACACCAGTTAAAACAAACACACCAAACACAGCGGGCACACCTGGAACACCAAGCACTCCAGGCACACCAAGCACGCACGGAAACACTTGCACACTTTTGCGAACGCGCCGTTTTCAAACAACATAAGATCGCGATGCCGACACAACGCGATTCCGCGATGTGTGGCATCGTCTTGGGAAGCCCCATAGGGCTTGGCCGTCTGAGGACAACGCGACTCCCAATTACTGTACGTTAGTCGATGTCCGCCATCGCACACCCTCCCCGCATCTCGCCGCGCATTGTGCGGGCATCGACCTTTCCTCCGAAGCGCGGCGCACGGCGTATCAAAATCCGCGCGGCAAGCGCGCAAACTTGCGAAGCGTGATATGCTTGCTTTCCTGTGTATTTGCTCGTCAGTGGTTCCCCACCAGTGGGAAGTCTAGAATGGTGAGACTCCTATGGCCCGGCCATTCATTCGTGGCCTGGGAAACCTGGAAGGGTAGGGATCCTATGGCCTTGCCGCGCATTCGTGAAATTGGAAAGCTGGAATGGTAAGAACCGGACGGCTGTGCCACACGTTCGTGACCTGGGAAGGCCGGACTGCTGGGTGCCCCATGACCTGCCGCACGCTCGTGACCTGGGGAGGCAACTTTCTGTTACACTGACTTATTTCATACCATATGTTCTGACGCAACGGTTGGGGTGATCCTCTGTTCTGAGCGCGCTATGGAGGACTCCGTGGGCAGCTATATTGGAGGGTTTTGTGATGGACCATATCGGACAACTCCATGGGGGCTCCATGTGGGGGGGCTGCCGATCAAGAAAGGCCGCCCCCCCAAAGGCCGTTGGCGCGGGCGTGCGCTCATGGCCGTTAGCAACGAATCGTCCGCCAGCGACGCGGTGGGCGCCTGTCGAATGCCGCGCATCAGCTGGGTTATCGAGGCGCCCTCAAGGCCCTGTGACCACGGCATGAGTGCACTGCCGTTTGTCTGTGCAGGCTGCGAAGGATAACGACGGTAGCAACATGGTGCTGCCCAGGCAAGGAAGAACCTGATGAAGAGGAATGCGCGGACCTGAACCGTTTTCTTGAATCAAGGTCGCGCGCAAATATCTGGGACAAGGCGTAGGCGTATGTGCTCGTTCGCTTCTGAACTGAGCACTCGCGCAGGTCGGCATATGTGTACCAGGATGGGCGACTGACGGGGCCGACGCCGACACGGGCGCGGGGGGGCAGAGAGGCTGCTGGGGAGTCATGTCGCCGCCACCGCTGTGAAGAACTCCGTCGCCAGGATCGAT